TAATAATTGGGAAAACCCGGAAAAAAACATTTAATGAAAACGGACGAATTTATGGAGTACGATTTCATTATTTAAATTGTTTACGAATTATGTTTTTTATCTTGTAATATTGTTTCAGTTGGGTTAAACGCGCATAACGGCTAACGTTTGAGACGTGTTTTTATTTTTTATAGACTTTCGTATACATAGAAAATTGAACCTTCTTATATATTTGTAAGTATTCTTGCGTTTTTTTGAGGATTGTTGATTTCCGTTTTTTATTCGTGGAAACTGGGTGATATAAATACTGGTTTTATCGTTTTTTGCATTGTTTGTAATATTTTCTTTAAAATTAGCATAACATTTTCTATTTTTTACATAGTTATGTTTTTTAAATCAAATAAAGACTAAACGTACGTGTGACAATATCAAAAATAGAATATTGGTTTTAAAATGGTAATACATTTGTAAAAACTGTCTACTCTTTTTATTTCGAATAAATAGTGTTATTTTATGTTATAATAAAATAATAAATAGTTTTGTATTTTAATTATTTTATTTAAAAGTTAAAATGTAGTCTATTTAAAATGATTTTCAAATAGTTCAATACCTATACCTATATAAATAATATTAAATATTATAAAACTGGTTTTATTTTTTTATGTAAGTAGGCCAATAATGTATAAAAAATTGACATTTTTGTCATCATCTGCAGGCATATAAAATTTAAATATTCTGGGTCACCTGATGTTCTTTTACAAACTATTCTTAGTTCAAAGTGTTTTTTGAACTCGTTTTATGTTAAATTGGGTTTCTTACAGAAAAATACTATAAAAGATTTAGAAAAGATTTAAAAGTAGGTACCTATATACTACGTTTATACAAAGGCTCCAATAGCCAATAGGTTCTGTTATATAGTGTATATACTTTTCAATTACCTATGTTTATAAGTTTAAAAAAGGTTGTATTTTATTATAATATTACATAAACAAGTACTGCGCGTTGTATATAGTAATCTCGGTCATATTATTGACACATAATGTTGGTACTGTTCCATGGGTGTCAAGCACACTGAATCAGATAACATAGTTTATCTGAAACGGCCAGAACCATAAAACCCATCTCGGATTTTAAAATAAATATTATTATTATTCTATTGTTTGATTATTCTAGAGGTAACCCGGTCGCTGCCGGGCTTAAGAAAAAAAAAGTTTTTTTGAAAGTAAAATAAATTAAGTGCATGTATACACAATGTATTACAAAAACTTAATTAAAATGATAGTATTTCCTTATAAAAATATAAACTACATTAATTGTATGTCTATTGCTGTTTTGGTATTATTTGTTTTTTCAATTTTTCAAAAAAATCGAACTCGGGACATCGCAACATATAGTTGACTATGACTAAATACAGGTTGGGGTAAATAAAACCCTAATTTATCTAACGTTTGGCCCTGAGCTTTGTTTATTTCTGATACAAATAGCATTTGTTATGTAAATAAAGATCAAGGTCAAACTTTGTATAAAGTAGTGTTGTATTTACCCCAACCTGTATTAATTTCAGATAGTAAATTATGTATTTATCAAGTAGGTATACAACTTTTTAGTAATATTTTTTGTGATTTTTTAAATCTGACTTAGTTTGCTTAAGTAAAATTTAGCCAGAGCTAGCGTAAAGTGAGCTAATACGATAATATATATCTCCATGTATTTCAAAACAATAAGGACAATACCCGAATGGCAATGCTATTTGAGAATCAAAAGAAACAAATGACATCGCACTATTTTAATAACGTATATTTTCTCTAAAATATTTAGACTCTTGATTTTCACCAGTAAACAAATCAAATATTTCATTATGCAAATGGCACTCTGATACAAATATTTTACCATTACTACAGCATAAACTAAAATGTCATCTGGTTGTTTTTTCATACTCAAAGTGTAATGATGAACAATGATTATACTTAATGTTGAACTACCCAAATTATTGGAAGTAGCGTGAACTACATTATACGATAGAGCGCATTTATAACTTATTTAAATACACTCTGATTTTGGTTCTAATAATTATGTTTTTTTCTTTTACGTCTTCCAGTTAAAGAAAGAGTACCACACATTCTTTTTGGATGTTTGTTTATAGATTTTAAATATTTATTTTACATATATATTTCTTTAGGTAACATTGGTGAATTTTGAATGTGTGTATTATTCCTAAATCCTAAAAATTAAAACATTACAATGTCCTGCGTCAACAGAACTAGAAAAAATTAAATTATATATTATAGCAACTGAACCATAATCGACAACCTCAGTAAGATTATTTTATCTATACACACAAAGTGTATTATTTGGATAAAGTAGATTAATACACTCGAATTCGACGTGACCAGCATCTTTTCAAATTCTTATAAAAAATAATATTCTAATATAAATGATAATAATATGAAAGTTACTGTAGTAATAAAAAATTAGATTATACAATATATATTAATATATACTTTTATGTCGATTAGCAAATGTGTAAAGTACAGTTAAAATCGGTAAGGTAGAACTTCAGATATAACTGTCCCAAGAAATCCCCTCACGTTTTAATAATATAATAGATACTATTATTATTATTTTATTGTTTGATTTTCTAGAGGTTACCTAGAAATATCTTAAATGGTATAAAACATTTCACCATGATATCATAAATACCAGCTTATATAGCTGATTATAAGTAGGTGCTTACACAATTGATAAATTACTTTAATATGAGTACCTATATCACGTTCTTAGAATTTATTAATTGCTGGTTTTAGATTTCTATAAATAATGTAAATAATACATTGTACACCCGTTTTGTTGGCCCATCTATCAGTGGTGGCTTTCATTACAATAGTATGTTATTAATATATTAAAATAATAATAATTTAAATAAAAACTAAACACGCTTGATACTCCTTTGTTTATGTAATTTAAAAGAAATCTATTCAAACTGAATTAATATTATTTTATTTCTTAATTATATTTTTATTATACAGCCAAACTTGATTCTTGTACGGTCTGTTGTTAGGTAAACTTAATATTTCTTTATTATGCACATTGTAACATGAAACTTTCGTCTTAAGAAAATAATTGATTATGATTCTTTTTAATTGCAGCAAAAAATAAAATATGATTTTGAATGTTACCTAAACAATAATAGTATAGGTAGTAAGGTATAATTGTTATCTCACCATTTTCTATACCTATAATTACAAATATAATTTACCTGTAAAAATCAGTTTGCTGTTTCAAAAGCCACTTTTTAATTTCAAACAAATAATTTTGATTCTTATTAGCAAATTTTTGAATTTGCTGAGATGTATTAATTTCTTAAGTTGTTTAATCTGAGTGAAAACAACCATTATAAAAAGTTCAACGTGGAAAATATTCAATTTCATATTCTTATCGATGTAATTAAATTAAATTCTGAGCGAAATAAGTAATGTTGTATTATGATGTGTGCTTATTTATTTTATTTTTTGTGTCTGTAAATAGTTTTTGTACCAGAAATTTCACTCAAATTTTTAAAGAGAAAAATACTTTTTTTGTTGCAGTTTAGGAATAGTTAGTGTATAGTGTATTGGCGAGGTTTTAGTGTACGATTTTCGTAATAATTGGGAAAAATCTGGAAAAAACGTATAGGAAGCGAGTAAGCTAAGTTCCCGGCGTCTAAACGTATTTTAAATAATAAACTATAGTTCCTTCTAAATACAATTAAATAACACTCATATTATTACTTTATAATTTAGATTCTCAGTGGAACGAAAAAGCTTATGGTTTTACAATGATGTTGATTTTTCTTCTATAAATAACTTTTCTATCAGAAATTTTGCTTTGAATACAATGATAGCACTTTTTCTAAAAGGAAATCTGAACAGGGAAGATATTTTAAGGAGGTTATTCTTTGATTTTCCCAGAAGTTTTCTCAATAAATGGGAAAAACACGGAAAAACTGAGAGAACGGGAAAATAGGTACAATATTAAACAAATATTAAAGAAAATGTTTAATGCATATGCTATTATTTTACCAAAACAACACTATCAACCGAACTCCACTCAAAATTGTTTTTCGTTAACAATAGTTAATCGTTGTTTACAGATATATATTAAATTTCCCTCTATATCATACTTAACAAATTCCTACCTACAACAATGGTCTGTACGCATCCCTATATCCTAGGACAGCTTTTTAATATTTGGCCAGTAAGAATTTTGAATGTATATCAAATACTCATATTTAAATAAATTATAATAATAAAATAATATAACGAATTTATATTTAAATTAAAAATAATAATAATGTTACGAATAACATAATACTCGTATATCACCTTGTCAATTAAATCAACTAACATAACTATGTAGTACATAGTACATGTACTGGTAACTACAGACGGACGGATCTAAGGAGCCTAAAATTATGTTTAGAAACCTTATACGAAGACATATTTTACAGCATTTTACTGTTTTAAATTTTTTTCCAAATTTCTAGAGTAGCATCTTTTTTGAAAGAAAATTGTTGGTGAATAAGAAAGTAGTTTTTCGATTAAAACCTTAATGTCGTAAACTATTCCGTGTTTGTCAATTGTTCAGAACTACAGAGGAAAAAAATATATCTTCATAATACACCAACTAGAAGTTAGTCATCCCCTATAGTGAATGACTGGAGCAAGATTTCTGGTGTAAAAGTTGTTTATACGGACAGAAATAAAGTAACATACACACATACACACACATACACGCCATATTATAGTAAAACCAATGCGTTTTCGCATCGTTCAGAATTAAAAAAAAAAAAACGGACAAATTTCTAAATATTATTTGTATTTATGTTCAAACAGCGTCGGCGACGGCGTCGTCGGAGGAGGAGCTTCGGACCGGGAACGCGATACCGTCAGCGCGTTACAGACCGCCGCCGCCGGTATGAATGAACAGCATAAACAGTTTTATACCGGAGCCAACGTGCCGCCGCCGCCTACTCAGTGCACGGCATGCTATTAACATGGTCACACAAACTGCGGTACCGCCGTCAACGCGTGCAGCAATCGACGACGACCGCGAAGACTTTGGCGCGCGTTTTCCGCAAAAGGTAAGCGTATTATTATTAATAATAATCGTAATAATTATATTATAATGTTGCATACGCTGGCCACGACGACCACGGCCCGTTATTAAGTATACGATCCGATGTATAACAATAAAATTATTAATATATGTATTACAAACGTCATAATAAAACGGTAACGGTACGACGACAGTATTTTTTATAATAAGTGTACACAATAGTGGACCGAAAAAAAAACTTTTATTTTCACAGCCATAATTTTATATTTTATTTGTAACAATAAAACAATCTAATCTTATTTTACGCAAAAGAAAAAAATTGTCTAGTTTACGAACAGCGATTTTATATGACGTAACGCGATTAATATGTATTTTATTTTTCGATTTAAAAATTATCGCTGAACAAAAAATTGCATGTTTAATATAGGGCTGTGAATTTAATGCAGTAAAAATCTTAAAAAATGCATTTAAAATGCTAATGAAATAAAAAAATGTACTTGACATTTTTTTTAACCGTTAGAAAATCATATTTTTTTTTAAAAATTGAAAAAATCATTATTTTTATCCCTAAGATAAATTTTCAGACACTTATGATATGCTTGTCTCTTTTAATGTACTAAATTTTGCATATTTTTTTTCACATCATATATTTTGCAGTATACTATTTTACCATTAGTAGAAAAAATATCTGCGCCATATTCATTGACGTACTTTCGCAAATTTGATGATTTTATATTTTTACCCTATTACTAATTAGGTAAAAATAACTTCCTTATTACATTCGGCCGATTTACCTTAATATGTCATTTTTTATTGAGAAATTTAATTAAACTATAAAAAAAATAAAATACATATAAATTCCGCAATTCATATAAAAACCCGCTGCTCGTAGACTGGACAATTTTATTTACGTGAACGTTTAAGATTCGACGGTATTGTTACACTTATACAAATAAAATATTAAAATTAGTATTTAGTAATTTTTGGGTTCAAAGATCACCCTTTTTTCATTTAATACGCTGCATATGTACGGCGAAAAAGACTAATATTGTTGATATGAGGGCGTTTGACAATGTTTTAGAAACAAAAAAAATACCATTACGATTTCTTCTTTGAAGAACATATAATTTTCTTCTCTTTATATTATTTTTGTCACCTGTGTTTTTAAATCCTAATTTTCATCTAAATTTATTAAGTAACGCATTTTCGATATTATACAATTTGTCCAATAATTAAGGGGTTGTGTTTGGGTAATTTGTATGATATTAAAAAAAAAATAATAATAATCATCGCAAAAATACCTATTCAAATCACTTTCAAATACAATTATAACTGATGGATGACCGGCGTCATCAAAAGAAGATACCCTTAAAAAATGATTTTAGAGAATAATAAACATCACGTGTATCATTTTTTATAGAAAATCAAAGGAGACAACCTTAACATCGTTTTACGGTAAAGGTGCACTATACATATTCAATTCATTATCGAATGTATACGAAAAATCATAATATTTTATACAATATATATATTTTTTTTTAAACAAGTTGGATTCTTTTGTTAATACGTCCCCTGATAATGAAAAGGTTCTGGGTCTCTACTTTGAAATTATTATAGAGAAGCGTTTAAAAATTCATATTTTGACATTGAATGTTATTAGTTAACTTTAAAATCTGATGGGATGATAAAAATATATACTTTTTAATTTAAATAGATTTTGATAGACATAGATAAAATCAATAATTTTGTATTAATTAATAAAATAAAAAAGTGAAAACAAATAATAATTTCGTACTTCGAAAAGATTCTCTCGAGAGAACCTTCTTAAAATACGCACTGTGGAGATAGAACATTTTCGTTGTGATTTTGTCATATTATTGTACCAGTTATTTTATCGTACAGTACTGTGTTAACATGTTGCTAATACAGAACCTTTTTATTTTCAAAAATTGTGAATACCATTGAATATAAAACCTTTCTCTCTAAAATAATAATTCACTTTAAAAAGGTTCTATTTTGTTAAGGTATATAAAAGAAAACCATTTTTCCCCAATTATTTAGAACAATTCCACTTTGAGTATCTGGGTGGAAATTTAAGATAGAAACTTCGTAGTAAGCTTAAATAATAGGTATTTTTTTTTTATACAAAAATCTATTAAAAATTTATTTTTCGAAAATCAATAGATAATACCATTACATTCTCAGACGAATAGTTAATATTAAAAAAAAAAACACCTAATGGGATATCACATAAATATTGTTTTTATTTTTATTTCATATAATAGATTTTAGATTTTGAGTGAAGCGAAGATGCTTATAGTTTTATAATGGTGTTTATATACATTTTTTTTTTTTGTGAACAACTTTTCTACCAGAGATTTTGCTCCGATTTTGAAAGGGAATCGGCATGGAGAGGTACTTTAAGGAGTTCATTTAATGATTTTCTTAACATTTTTTTCAAAAAATATAAACAACCTGGAAAAACATAAGAAGAATGGTACTAAATGAATATGAATATAACTGAGCTAAAAATTGTCTGGATAAGATAAAAGATAAATTATTTTTATCTAGATAACTTATTTAGATAAATTTATCTAGATATTTCCCAACACTACCCGCCAGTAATATATAAAATCATTTATTCGATTTGTTGATAATTATTGTTATATATTTTATTTTTATATTTTTTAATATATTATTCTTCAAATTGTAAATGAATGTCTTAAAACTTTTTTAATAGTATTTTGTGCAATTCTGTGCGTTAATTAAAGTCATGTCTGCTTTTTACTTACTCACTGCATGACTTACTCACCTATTTTACAAGGTAGTTCAGTTGATCTACCCGAAGTACGTATTCGGCGTCTCTGAGTCTTATAAAGGATTCGATAAATAATTTTAATGTAGGTAATGTAATTTTAGGTAATTATAGGTAACATATCACAGTTTTTCTTATCGACAACAGTTTTGACTTGTTTTTTTGCATATACCTATATTTTTGATTATTAATTTTAATTTTAATTATTAAATTTGAAAAATAGGTTCACGTTGTATTAGATAGTATAGAATATAACTAAAAACGTTCAACTAGTTTACATTGGAGCAATATAGACGTTCTACTTAAAATTTGTAACGAATTTTTTAAAACTTTAATGTCGAACGTAATACATTTTAAAATTATTTTATTTAATATATTATTATAAAAAAAAAATTGTATATGCAGATAACAGGTACAGATTTACAGACTGTATAGAAAAATACGATTTTATTTAAAAATAAACTAATTTAGGATTTGTATTTAAAATTTAAAAAATGACTACATGTGTGCCATGTGGTAGATATACTCATACACTTATATGTCAATTTTATAAATATATTTTTTTAATGGAAAACGTATATTTATAACCTATATATGACCGGTGAAAAAAAACATTAATTTGTCATACCTACTCGTATCGCTGTATAATACGCGATTGGGGTCATTTATTAAATCGAATGGTAAAATAACAATATACCTACGCGTAATTTTTAATTAAAATTCAAAGTTTATGTTTTAATTTGATTTTTGAATTGGATTTGAGTTTTGATGTTTTTGGTTTTGAATTCATGTCTTATAAATGCGAATTGGTTCGATTTATTCCGTGTCGTATATAATACGCACGATTAGCATATATTTGTATGCATGAAATGATCAATGTGTATTTATTGTTATTATTATTATGTATTTTTAGATTTTTTTTAGGGGGGGAAGGGGAAGATGATTTATTAGCAGTAAAATAAATCATCAATTAAAATCGAGCTATCGTCAGATTTTGATATTAAACAAGACGACCATTAATGAATTCGTGCGATTTATATATTTTATTTAAAATAATAGTTTTTTTTTTACGTTAGTAAATTACTTTTTGTTTAAAATGGGATAGTATATAAATTATCATTATACAAATATATATAAAAAAAAGTAATATTTTATATTTAATTCATTAAGTAATATATTTAAAATATTTCTTGTAAATAGCAGATCAGTTTTTTTTTCAAGATTGATTTATGTGTTCGGTTTGTTCTTATTGTTTAATATTATTTGACTAAATTGTTTATATTATAATATTTAGTAGATGTTCGACATTATATTTACTAAAATTCAACAGGTAAAGGTTTTCAGAGGTACGTGGAATATATTTTATCAAAAGTAATTTCAAATTAAAACCAATATTGGTAGGACCAATACAAATTAAATCGGTGAATAAAATATTAAATAAAGAAGAAAAGTTTATTTTTAGATTCTGTAGGGTCTATTTACAAACATACTGAAACCGACATTCGATCAAAACTCGACTGAAAAGAACTCTAGTTTCGATTTACAACTTGAAATATTATTTTCAATTAATTTTCGATTACTAGTTTGATAGTACTGTTCGACAATTTACAACGATAGTGAATTTGTTGACGAAAACTGTTTCGATACATAGTTTTCGCTTTAGTCAATTAATTAATTATATTTTTTCATTAGTTATGTTTTTTTAAATTTGTATAGTTATTTTAACTTCATGAACGAATGTTGAAAATATTCTTTAATTTTATGTATACATATTTATAAGCATGGGTGCTCATTGATAACATTTTAGAGAGAGTCAAAATTAAAAAAAAATATATCAAAGTATATGCTTAATGAACGTTTAAAATTCAATTTATTAAAATTATTAGTTCATAATATTTGTTAAGGGGAAAGGCAAGTTACACGTCTGGTTCTCCATGACACCCATGATAATAGGTAGTCTTTTTTTAAATTATGTCATTTGATATTAACTTTAAGATTTTTAATAACATTGCAATTAGATTATTTAAACATAGAAATACATATATAACAGTATGAACATCGCACATGAAGCAAGATGAGTTTTAGGACAAGAGATCCTTTTGTTGGTAAGTACCTACTTACATTTTAATTATAAATCAAAGATGATAGGATTCTTTACTAAATTAAATAGATAGATATCATATTATTTAATTCAAATTTTAACATACATACCTTTTTCACAAAGTTACATCAACATCATAATATATTATTTTATTATAAGTATTACGTATCTGTATACAATATAGTAGACATTATATTATAATTACAAATTTAAACAATGTGTTAAATGTCAATGCACGAGTTTTATGAGTGTTGAGTATCAATATTAGGTATCAATAATTTGAGATAATAACTGAAAATTGCATGGAAAAACTATGCATTTATTTTTATTTTACCACCAATTAAAACTTATAATCAACCTCGTATTAAGTTTTCAAGTATTTCTGTTTAAATATCCACATAAAACCAAATAAATACTATAAAAACCTAGAAAATATCAAATATTACCTATAAATAGTTCTAAAATCTCTAGAATATTTTGAAAATTGTACTCACTACAAACAAATATCTTATTTTTACTTTTTACTCTTAAAATTCGAAGCAAGATCTCTGGTATAAAAAAACAAAAATCGAACAAATTTAAAACTTTGTCAACGCCGTAAATTTGTTCGTTTTTCTTTTAGTTTTTTCTGGATTTTCCCAATTATTATGAGAACTACTCGGAAAATCAAAGAATTATCCCTTAATACATCAAATGGATCCAAAATGTTACAAAAAACTCTTTCTTCTTTTTTTGTTGGAATAATATTTCTGATAGAAATGTGGTTTACAGAAGGACAAAATTAAAAAAGAAGCGCACATCATAGAAACACTAACATTTTAAAGATAAAAAATTTATTTTTAACCACTACTATAATATTAATAACATTATTCCATTCAGATAGACGGACAGAAAAATAAGAAAAGAAAAAGTAAGCATACATAATAATAAAAATAATGTTCAGAATATAAACAAAATACACAAACATAATATTAACACTAATATATTCCTCGTTGTGCTCATAAACCAAAAAAGCATAATTACCTACTAAATTGTTATTGGGATGGAACTCAGATACAGCCCTTAAAATGGAAAAAATTCCACAAAAATGATAATTATTATTAAATTAAATTTTAAAAAGTTTACGCGATTTGTAGTACTTTTATGGAAACAATAATGTAATGATTAATGATAATTAAATCATGTGGGTTTTCATTTATTTCAACTTTACTTTAATCTGTATGCTCGATGAATAATAATAATAATAAAAAAAAAAAACCATGTAAAACAAACAAGCCGAACAATAGGTGTGTATTTAAATTGCTTTTCCGTCTATGTTTTGAGAGTGTATAAGCTTTATAATATTCTGTTCAAATTATATCGCCTCGGTTTTAATTTGATATCATGCTGTATATTAATGTGATTAAATCGATTTCGATTAGAATAAGATCACATAGCAAACATGTATGGATTCAAAAATCGTTGTTTTGAAGTATAATGTGTATACATATATATATATTATTATCACGAGATATAGCGTTTAAACATAATATTATTATCATTTTGATTTATGAGGTATTTTGAGTTTAGCACGTTTTACCTTCGTCGTTGTCGTCGTCGTAGTCCTGTTTTATAATATCAAACGGTCAACATCGCTGCGAAATATAAAAATATATTATTACCTTTCATATTTGTTCACTCTTATATAGCATAAGTTTTGAACTCGACGTGCAGACAGCTATACCTACTACGCGTTGTTTTTTCCCTAAAATATATCTACTTAGTTGGAAAACTTTTATGTATATAAAATATGTGTATGACGTATTTATCCCAGATTAAGTTGAATAAAATATATCAGATTCCAATAGCCTATAGAAATCTAAGAAAAATAAATATTTTACTGAAATCATATTATATGATATAATAGCAGAATGCAGACAAAAACGTTTTGTATATTAGTTGGTTATCTTATTACGTAACCAGTGATAACATTATCAGGCTTTTAATGTGGTTTTTGTTTTATTTTGTTTCTTAGCATAGATAAAAAATGCAGAAACAATATATTCTTTTACCAATAAATAATAAAGTCGTATGCTCGTTGCTATTTCCCAATACTTCATAAGTTTTATCATTTTACTAATTAAACGCCTGAACATATTATAAAATCAATGACATTATTTTCTTCATATTTTTCAGTAGAAGTAATATAGAATTATAATACTTATAATGTAGATTTTTAATGATGGCACTATAATAATAATATATGTTTAATGCGTTATGTCAAGGATGTTAAAAATGTTGTATAATTTCAATGCATTCGAGTTTAACGTATTGTTTTTAGAAGGTTGGATGCTGACTGCTACCAGACGACCACGAGTCACCTGCAGTTATTTATCCCTATGAGGTAGATTACATGATAAAGTATTATATTGAATCGGTGCCAAAAGAGATTAAAAACCTAAAACATGTTGAGATTATTTTTATACCGCGCGTAGTAGCTTCGCGTTAAATCGTCTGTAGTAGTACATCTAAAGGCGTTTACACCGTACCTAATTTCGATTGATCGGTGGGGTTATCGTAGGGTCATTTTAATACATAATAATAGTATGAGGTGTATGTAATAACTTTTTATTTTTTAAATTACTAATAATTTTTAGTTGACTAACTTTTACAAACAGCTCACTGTTTATTGGTCTTCAAAAGGTCTTTTTTTTTTGGGGGGGGGGGAGGGCGTTTGCGCTGTTACATTTTTATGAGATGAATATTTTTTCTGCAATGGATTTCTTCACACGTGTTAGGTATATCCCGGATGTGAGGTTGGAACAGACTGACTGCCGATGGGTATTTTTGGAAATGTAGAAAAACAAACTTGGAAAAGTCGTTATTCGACATGTTTTATAAGTTATATTACTAGTGAATAGCTGCAAGGATATAGGCAAGTTCTTTATCGTTCGTACATTTTGTGAAGTCGTTTTATGCATATCTGAGTCCGTTCAGAGTTTTCCACGAGTTTGTTCCGGGGCAAAAATATATTTTCGGCAGATCGTTTTTGCGTGGATAATAACTAGAGCGCGGATTTGTATGCATTTGCATATTTAATCTGGTTGATCGTATGACATGCTAAGTTAGCGTAAAATGTATTTCATGACATAACGATTTAAAAAAATTAAACTTTTTTTAGTACTTATTTTTGCATATTTTCGACATTTACTCATTTTTTTTTCTAATTTAAGGGCTTATTTTACAATTTTAATGGAATATTTCGATGGTTTTCATTATTTTTTTGACATTTTTGAAATATATACTATTGTAAAATAAGAAAAAAAAAAATATTTTTATAGTTTTGAATGATATCAAAATAAATGAATAGTTATAGTTGTAAGTATAAATGGTTTTCTTAAATATGACCTTAAACTAATAATCGGTGAAATACGTATATTAAGATAAGAAAATATTGATTAAGATCATTGACATTATTTCAGTCGCGTTAAAATATTTACCGTGCATTCCTGTGTGCTTTCTGTTGTAATTCGCGTTTTTATTACTTTATTTTTATCAAAATTCCGAAAGATAAATCGTCGTTATCGAGAGTCTTATACATTAAAACTACCTACAAAATGATGAAAGTGAAGAAAAAAATGTAGACAAGTATTTATAGAAGGGTTCCATAGTCTTAAATTTATTGTTATAATTAAATGTTCAAAAAATACATCTTTTTGCTAATTTTGTTATGCATATTTTAACGTATTAGTGCATATATTTATGCATGTTTAAGATTTTTTAACGTATATTCGGTTGGTTTTTAATGCATATAAATCCGTGCTCTAATATTAACCAACCACAGAGTCGGCCCGGGCGATGAAGTCTCCCGAATGTAGGTATACTAGGAACTTTAAAATGCTCGGATTGGACTTATTGTATTGTGCCTTCGGTCGTCGGTATCATAATAATAGTATATCGTACGGCGAAACATATGTTGATGTGTACTATGTACGTTATATATATATATACCATGTATTTTTATAAAAAAAAAAAAAAAAAAAAAAAAAAAAACAAAACCGACTGTACAGAATCGTTTAAAATTCACCTGCACTGGACGACTGGAATGGACGCGACAAAATGATAAAACTTGGCGGGGTATTAACCCGGTTTTACCCTACTTATAAAGTACCTAGTTAGGTAGATAGGTGGGGCACACGTGTGGCCGATCGTCTCCGGAACACGTGTGTAACGTTACCTACTGCAGTTGCCGAATTAGACAAATCCGTTTAACCGCTCGTTTAATGTTTAGGTCGTATACCATATATAAAATATATACTCGTGTGTATACCTAACTGCAGTACACGAATCCGACAGAAGAATAAATTAGCGGTGCGAAATACGAATAGGTACCCTATACCTATACCTATATACTAACACGACCGCCGAAACACAACGACAATGGCACCACCGGATCTAATCCTATTAATTGCACTGAGTTTGCACCGCGTATAATATCTACTCGGTGGATCCCATTGAACAATATTCGCAACAAAACACAGGTAATTAATTAACGATATATACAGCGGAATCTACCCGGTAAGTATAGGTAATATCATATATATACGAGTATATACCACGGAGGATTGCAATATGATAATATAATAATAATAATAATATTATGTTGTACCGTTGTGCCGAAAGGATTTTAAAACAGTGATACAGCCCGGGGGAACATGTGACCGAATCATAATGTTATTATAATCGTATCGGTAGATCGTATACATATACTGTAACAGTATAACAATAATGATCACGTGTACACTATATTACCTATTATAATATGTGTTTAATCGTTTTACGTTAAACGCTTAGAGCCTTAATATATCTGCGTATATAGGCTCGAAAGGGATGCTGTTAAGCATTGTTGTTTGGCAAAAATGTCGTGTGTCATTGATTGGTATAGCAAAACCGAAACGGTATGTTCTATAGGTGCCTATACGGTAAAAGAGATTATCCGCCGCCGTGTCGTCGTAATTAACGAGCCTCAGTCCCTGGGACGGGACGAGTTAATAATAATGTACATATGACAAGCCAGAATTATTTCGAGTTTGACCATCGATCGCGCGTGGTATATATATACACACCTAAATTTCGATCAAATTGTATAGAATCGGGCCAATCGCCAAACATAACGTGTATTTTTATCCGCGTTCAGCGGCCGAGGGCGTATTTCTATGAAAACCAATCGATTATTATCTACTCGTATAGGTAATTCAATATGTATTCTTCTTTTTCCGGTTCTCAATTTTTTAATAATTGGTTAGCTGCAGTCCTCAGCGCTTCTCTGTGAAAATTAAAATCCTTTAACTTATCGGCAGTATTCCAATTTTACTTTCTACGTAACGTTTAATAATAATTAATTCCAACTAACTATCGTGACGTAGTCGAATCATATTATTTTCCATTCTATTTTTTATAATGTGTTAATGCCATCTTTTTCCTTAATTCTTCGTTTATTATATTCTTTCTGAACATGAAATTTTGAACATTTTAGTTAACACCACATCATATCAATGCTCTTTATTGTTCAGATTTCACACGCGTAGTATAAACTACGTACCTATAATATAATATCATGCTCCATCTTATATTTTTAAAAAGTTTTTCATTGTGGTGAGTTTAATGTTGTACGTATTAATAAGTTATTAAGTAAATAATTAAGTAAATATAAATAATTAAAAAAATTAAAAAAAAAAATTCGATAAAAAAATATTCTACCCATAGATTGTGATTATGCGACAAAAATGTTACCGTAAATGCCGGATGTTTAAGATTTGAGACGCATAGAAAACATGTTGATGAACGTACAAAGTCAAGAATATAACAATCGCGAGTATTATTCAGAGTTAATACGGTAACACTGTAGTACATAATAATTGTTTTTTTTTTTTTTTTTTTGTTGCTTTTTAATAAAGTCGTATATTTGTCGTACGCGGAACGCATTGTGATTCGTATTGTTTTCGCGCTCAACAAATATTTGCCACCATTTCATGTAATATAATATATAAATATATATATACATTTAAGTTGACTTCTCGTATAATAATAATAATAATAATAATACGTTTTCGAGTTATTATACAATATACTATACCGATTTACTCACAACACTGGAAATATGGAAATAATACACGCGCGTTAATGATTATTGTTTTAAATGTTTAAAACGCGCGCGCGCACGCACGCACGACGACTCTCTCCCCTCCCCCCGGTTTAAAACCGTTACGGGACGCTCGTTTAAAATTCCCAGTTTTTTACGCGCCCGCGGCAATTCCGTCTTTTCGGAACGCCACGCATTCCCGCGCAAACAACTGTACCTACATAACAGTGTCATATTAGTGTACGATAACATTTTAATAACACAGCGGCGTGTATCGGGTGCGGGGCGCGCGCATATTAAGTACGTTCGGAGTACATTAAAAGGCGCGCGATATCTGCGGCGCAGCCCGCGCGTACACCCATACCACCTATAATACGCGTACAACGTTGCCGTATTTGCTTACAATTTCATAATCTAGATTTATGTATAGGATTTCCCAAAGCATAAGTACACATTATATCGCGTGTGTGTTCTCGCGGTAAATTCCGCTGTGTATAAGGTGCGCGCGCGCACGCACGCGCGAGGGCCCATTGCAGAGATTTCGGTCCCGCGAACAATATTCTACACGTAATATTGTGTTCGTGTGCGCGCGCGTGAGATCACTACACACTCAGACTACCTACGTACAATATCATATTATTTGTGTTCGCGACGAGCGTGTGCGCGCGCGCCCGTTTACCCCTAAAGCCGTATAATAAACAACCGCCGCCGCCGCCGCCGCCGCCGCCGCCGAGTACGATGCGACTTAATACAATTAACTCTCGTTTTGTATACATATATTATATACGACCGTCCCGTGCAGTATGTACCTGAGCCGAGTGTATAGGTACTGGCAACTCGCAGTCCTCTTGGCTATTCTAATTTGTTTAATGCGTACATTGTTATGCGGATACACCCATACGTATGCATGTACGTATGTATGTATGTATGTATGTATGCGCGTATGTATGGCGTGCACACACATACACGCACGCAGTGTCACGCGCCTGCATTTTTCGACTGTATACACCCATTACACATATTGTATATTATATTATTATTATTATTATTTTTTTTTCCCAATTCGAAAATCTCTGTCCCGTCAATATTACATTATGGCGATAATCCCGCGCGCAAGCGTGTACAATATAAAACATAAGGCACGATAATGATATTGATGCCCGCGTCTCATATTATTATCATCGTCTCGAAAATATCGTCTTTTTTTTCAAATTTTTCCGTTCAGGAAATATTGTCACATGGTGGTGATATTCTAAAAATAATAACAATAACGTAAAATAAAATAATCGCATAGTATTATATTCGTGTGATTTTAAAATTTTAATTTGACGGCTCTTCCGTTTACAGATTTAAATTCCAATGGTCCGGTTTTGACATGTGCATATTGTTCATAGCTCTAAAGTCCACGGCGAAACACATCGTTGTAGTTATAACAATTATAACATTGTCCTTTTCACAGATAGTTTTTGTTAATTATTCTTGTTTCCACCGTGTGCGCAGGAATTGTAGGATATTTGCATTTTGGACTTGGGTTTCTTGAGGCGGAGACTGCGTTTATAAATAAAAATCACAGGATTCTTTCACCCGGTAAAAACATCAACAACAACGACCACGTAGACGTAGGCACAGCTTGTTTGGCCAATGGCGGTTGTCTTACTCAAAGGAAATAATATTTATACGCACGTATACCCGTATACTTGTCCGTCTGGTGTAATATCGAAATCCTATTATTACAGGACAATAACTATAGGTATCCGTGTATCGACAATGGAGAAATAATCATATTATATTAACTTTGTCAACGAACGTCCATAATAATATTCATTAATTTTATAGGTATGAAATGTACTCGTGTTGACGTAAAGCGATTATTCGTATTGCAATATCGGTCCATCGGACCACTTCAATACGTGGACTGTACGTAACAAATAAGGTACCAATACTCTATAGTTGCACGTAGAAAGCGAGAAAGAAGAATGTACAGTGATTACATACAGTTTAAACCTGTTAAAATTTCATACGAGTGTTACGGTGAAATGAAAATGAGAGTATAGAAATCGAATATTATTTTCACACTTCTCTTTTTCTTGGAGTATTATTTTTGTCTTTGGCTAATAATGTTCAAAATAATTCACTTGATGTTGCGCCAAATCAATCGTTGGGATTTTCCAAAGATGATATCTTCCATCACTCTAATCAACACTCCTTTTCCCTCGGAGTAAAAGTTGCAGTAATCCATATCTTTGGTGATTTCTCATTATGTGATCCAGAAATTTTAGTTTTCAAGTTTTTTTAGTTATCACTAAGTATGTTTACAGTATTACACCTATATAAGCGTAATTTTGTATATTTATATTTAACACATTGAAAAAAATTTCACAGTGTTGTTAATTTTATGTATATGTATTGTAATTTTATGCTAATCCTGTTAAAACATTTTAGGTTTCGATTAAAAGCATCACAAACATGGTACGGCTAACGATATGTTTTTCAACTAGGTACTATAAAAATAAGTAAATTCAAATGAGGTCGTTAATTTTCTCATAGAATTTAAGTCGTTTTGTTCCGGACAAACGTTCCAAATAGGTACATATTATGTAATATGTATAATATTATTAACTTAATGCGAATGTTTGTAAGTCATATAGAAACGTGTAATCGGAGTATTATTGCCGGTTTCAAATGTACAATAACGAGACGGTGTTGTCATAAAAATTATTTAGGTACTTCTTAGCCGCCACCATTCGACGACGAGTGTAGCAACTTGCGAGAACGAAAATGTAGATACTTGGTCCGTATTGTATTATAATAAAGGCTGTGTTTCATAAACTAAGAAAGTGTTTATACATTACAAATAATACAAATGAGCAACACATATTTCAAAGTATGCATTAAAAAGAATCCAAATATACAAAAAAAAAAAAAAAATGTACAAAATAGTCTATAAACAATTTGTATTTGTTGAAATAATGTTGAACTTTAATCTTAGAATAATTAATTGTTCGATAAAATTTGCATTTAAAATGCTTATAAATGCTTAAATCAAAATGAACTATATTACGTTCGACCTTTTTTTTTTACCACCATGTACAGTCTAAGATAGACGATAAACCTCCTATTACATTTTCAAAACACTTAGGCTTGACAAAAAATTATATTCAAACATTGAAAAATAACACGCAAAATACTACGTTATATTTTAACGATTATTGTAAAAATTTGAAATTTAAACACGTATAAAAAACTTTTACGTTACGCTCAACTTTTTTTTAACTACTTATTTAAACATATAATGGCTAAAAATTTCGAAAATTTCGAGTACCTATAAATTACAGTAGTTCAAAAATCACAGAATATTTTAGAACTTTGACCACATCTCAAAAGGCTAATATTGGTAAGTATTCTGTAAATATTGCAGGTCTTGACGGTTATTTTAATTCGGATTACAACAAAAAAACAAATAAAGAAACCGTTAAGGCCGTAAATTTATCCGTTTTTTATTTTTTCCGAGTTTTCCAGATTATTATAAAATCTACTTTAAAAATCAAAAAACGATAACTAAATTAAATACATCAAATAGATATAAAATGCTAAAGAAAGTTCTTTTTTCATTTTTTGATTGGAACAAGATTTCTGACAAAAAAGTTGTTTACAGATGAAAAATAAAAAAAAAAGCACGCGTTATAGTAAAACCAATACATTCCGCGCTCCGATCAGAATATTAAAGCTAGTGGCATACCTGGCCTGGTTACTAAAATAGTCTAACACATTTAAAGAAATTTGGAAAATTGGCAATGCTGTGGTGAGTGTTGACTTTGAAAAAAAACCAAAACACGTGTACAATATTTGAACTTTAGAAATTAACATTCGTTTTACTCATCCCAAGTAAAAATATTTTAAAATTGTTCACTTATTTTTTATTCTAAAGAAAAAAAAAATCTTTTTTTCATCCGCTACTACAATAATAAAAATATTATTCCAATCAGATAAAAATATACAAAAATGCAAAGGGTGAAAAATAATATTTATCGGTTGCGGTATATAATATTTTTTAAATTAAATAATCGTTTTCATTGTTGCGCCACTGCAGGTTTTATTTAATTGCGGTTCTATATACAATGAATATTGTTAAAAACAATTATGTTATACACCGCCTGTATACTAATCAAGTGTGTAATTCGTTTTCTCAACATTGCAATATGCGATGTTGATACTGATTTTTGATAGTTCAAAGACATAAATAAAAATAAAATAGTATATTATATTAAAATAATAATTTCAATATTTATTTCTATAAATTGTAATTTCTGTAGGATAAAAAAATAAAACCGCAGGTGGACGGGTTAAAAAATAAAGAATAAAAATAACGGGAGAAAGATTGTGCAATATAACCCCTAATTTATGAAACACGAAAAAATAGGAAATTTCTAATTGCAGTACCGGTCTAATTAATGTACAATATAGCCAAGCAATGTTTAACTCCCCCAAGAGTAATATTGTGCCCGTGGACTGTGTCATTTTTCAACGTTTTAAACCATAACATTTATAACACTAGCATCATATTGTTATTTTATAATATTATGTATATATATATATATTTTTTTTTTAAATGACGTGTAGCGACTTTTCACACTTATTTTTATTCAAGCTAATCTGAAAATCGAGTTAAAACTGAAAAATAAACGCATTTAAAAGAATAACATAGAAGTAAATTTCAAATTTTATTTAGCCAAGTCAGGGTGGAATACAATAATTATAGAATTTAAATTGAATGTTATATTTTTTCTAATATTATACCAGGCCATGTGATAAAAAATTCAATTTTATATTGCAATAATTTATAAAATACCATAAAAACTTTACGAGCACGAGTGATCACGATTCGAGTATCTTAAAGACTACTAATACATTTAAGTTAAGTTACATTTAGGTTAATATTTTTAAAATATCCGTTTTTCAAGCACCTATATGTATCATAATATTAACGTTATGTTGACAATATAATATAACATTTTTAGTAAGATATTATTTTATTAATTTTATTTTCAATACGGGCCTTAAGTAGTAACAGTAACAATTTATTCATTATTTGGTTTAATGTAATATTTATGTTTTGATTGACATTGAACGTATTGTCATAGACGTAAATATATTAATTCAATTATCCATTAATATTAATTAACTGAATCTTTTGGATTGACTAAATGATAATGGAACTATCAACTCGTTGCAGTCTGCTTCCGGTATATAGCGTAGTGTTCGTATTTACCTTGACGTCCCTTAAATTGTTCGATAATCAGCGATAATAACATTATTATTATTATCGTGACTATGTAGAATTGTAAATCTATAATCGATAGGCCATTATCTAAATATCTTGATTTGTCGTATAGAAATTAAAATATATATTACAGATCACTTGAGTACGGATTTTAAAGGCAATTGCTTTTTTTTTTTTATTGCTTTAAAAGAAAGCTATTTCATCTACAAATTCGATTTGTACTACTTGGAATAAAATGCAAGACATTTTATTTTAATTGTTTTGTATATTAATGCTTTTTTGGGTATTTTGGGTACTTTTTTTTGCTTTTAAGTTACATTTTTAAAAATATATTCTAAATACGTTCTAAATAAACGTATTTAAAATGTTAATATTTATTTTTATATTATATAATTTGTTCAAAGATCATGGCTGGCTTAAATGATTTTATCTCGTTATGTTTGATTTATGGATATATTTATTGATGTAATTTATATAATGGGATTCACGTATATAGTAGATTAATTTATCTTGAAACGACAATAAACACAAAAATATGTTATATTTTTTTTTTTTTAAAACCCATTTTTAATGCTTTTTTAAGCTTATTTTTTTGAAGATTTATACAGCTTTATTGCTTCTTTCAGTTTTTTATTGCTTTAAAATCTATACTCTACATGCCATTTTTAAAAATAATACCTACGAATAATCGTTTTTTGAAGAAGTATTACCGTTTAATTTTTTTATATAGACCTATACGTATTGTTCAATTATAAAAGTATAGTATACAAATTAAATTTTGTGATTATTCCTACTATTAATTTAATGATTATTATTAAGGTCAGGGGTTTTAGGTAATTTTCTTTTTCGGAACTACGGAATATGTTCGTGTTGAGTTTTGCTGAGTTAGATAGTTAGTTTAAAATGGTGAAGAGATCAATATATTAGAAATATAATATCGTTTTACCCGCCCACGGTGTTGAAACGCTAGGGTATATACATGTAGATATCCTCATGTGATCCAGGAGTAGTCAGACGACAGTCACAACTCTATTAAAATATCCTAAGTTTAGTATTTACTACTTCAAGACTGCATGCACTCAGATGAAAAATAATTAAAAGAAATTAATGAAGAGATCAAATATTAATGATTACCTGATAAAAGTCTGCTAGGTATTCGAGAGAGATTTTCGAAAGAAATTGATGGTACTTGTAGTGTACGGGGTTTTCGACATAGTGATCGTCCAGAATATTTTTCGCGTGGGCGAAACGTTCGAGATATCAAGAAAAAGACCATTATTTTTAATTTAAGAGACTTACGTTTCGGGGCCGATAAATGGTGACCATGTGCATGAAGTTGGCATCCCCATTAATGTATTAACTCAAAAATTGTGTCATTATTTTACAAACGATTTGCAACAATTTGCAACCAAATATATCCGCCGCAAAATCGCGGCTTAATTTACCATAAACGCACCACTCCCCCTCACTACCAATATATTTCATTTTGCGGCATTATCGCAGTTATTGGTTGAACATTTTAAAAATTTGGTTTCAAATAGTTGCGAATCAGTTAAAAAATAATGACATAATTTTTGAGTTGGTACGTTAATGTGGGGAAGGGGAGCAACTTCATGCATATATGGTGACCCGTTAATTATGAAACTACAATAAAACCCATTTTTTTTAGTATTGATTTTGCTTAAGCTGCTGCGGAAGTGATATAGCAAATGCGCCAACTGTTGTGTGAATTTTATTTTTCTAACCATATTATCATGTTTTAACTACGGCCATAGAATTATGTATTTCACTCTCCAATAATGAATGCCCCTTGTATTCATTATATCAACAACTTTTTTCACTAAATACCAAGTACTCGGCCATATCCAAACCGTTTATAAATATAAATAATTTTATATATGTTGTGTGGCATAACATTACACTATATAATATTTAGTTAAACAAATTTACTCGTAGATCTGATATCTAAGTCCGCAGTGACTATTAACAAGAACTATATGTATAAAATAAGTATTATAAAAAGAGACATATTCTATACGGAAGGGAATCGTATAATTACAAAATTAAAAAATACAATTCTGAATTGGCTATTTTCAGTACTGTAATAAGAAATTATATTTAACTGTTGCATTTTTATATGTTAGTAATACAATTTGTAATGTATTTTGTATATACTAGTAATAAATAATTTATATATTATATAGATATTTTATGTTTTTCATGTTTTACAATTAAATTGTTTATAATATTTTATTTAACTCGTTGAGTATTGTTTAACTATATTGTATAACCTAATTGTTTATTTATAATTTTTAATTATGCTATGTAATTTAATTACGCGTATACTATAACTCTCTATACCCCCACAAGCTTTGCTTAAAAGTAAGTGTAGGTAGTTTTTATTATTTATTTAATACTTTGTAATTGAATTTTATAATGTATTAGTTTAATAATAAAAATCTATGAAAAAAAAAAGACTGACATACTTCGCACATGAGTGCAGCCATTGTTATAGATGGGAAGTTGGGAAGGTAGGGTACATAAGGTTATATCATTTATATCTGTAAACAACGATAAAACATTGCTGACAAATGACGATTCCGAGCGCAGTTCGGTAATACATAATTTGAAATGCTATAATTTTGTTTGCGATTTTTATTTAAATTTGATTTCAAAACGCTTATTAAGAAAAATGGTCGTCTGATGATATTGGAAATTTTCCACGTCTAAGTAAGTCCAATATAAGTATTTTTACCAAGTTTCAAGTCTCTACGTGTATTTATAATCAAATGACTGCAAAAAACACCATTCAAATTAAAATTCTTTTAAAGCTCAAAAGTGGCTCAAAAGTTTTGGCGATGGTACTAGAATAAAGTAAATCAAAAAGGTATCTTGTGATTTTTCGATTAAATCATTTTTTCTGGTAGATAACGTTGTCCGTATTTTTTTTGTGAAATAATGAAATCGTGAAATTGTACGTTTTTCTACGTTTATTCCCACTTAAGTGCTTTTATTTTAAAAATGGTGTCGAAAATCAAAAAATGACTTGTTTAAAGTACAATTTAGACAGTTTGAGTTTTTAGTAAAGTTACTACATATAAAAATCAGAGCAAGTTTACTAGGAAAAAACGTGTCCACTGACTAGAACAAAGAAAAAGAAGAAAAAAATAAATAGCACTGTAAAACTAATACATTCCTCGATCCATTCAGAATATAAAATAAAACATTATAGCAAATTTCTAAAAAAAAAAAAAAATAAAAAAAATAGAGCGTAATAAAATCGTTTTTTTAAAGTGTTTGTTTAATATAATTCAGATATCTAAAACTTTAAGATCAAAAACCATCTACGTGCGATGGTATAGTTCGATTTTTTCTTTGTGTGATTTGTGAATCGAGTTTGGATATAAGTGATTTATAATAATGTGTATGTATATACATATATGTATGGAATCGTCAGAATCTGTACATAGTATAAAATCTGTTTTAGTGACTATGTTTGCATCTACACAAGTTAGAAAATGGAAGGTAAAGATAAGTTCATACATACTTCTGTAGGAGTTTTGATTTTACATATAATTTTGTTGAACTATTTTATATTAAAACTTGGTCAAGGTTATTACTAATATAATAGTATTTTATTGCGTATAAGTATTTATATGATGATGTAATGTCAAGACGTCTGATCAGATATATTTACTGAGTAAGGTCAGATGAATCGTGCAAACATAATTTTTTTCGATACCACGTGTTAGTAGATTATACATATAAGTTAAAAACAGTTAGAACACAGTATTATTGGACTATAGAAAATGTTATTTCGAATTTTTGTAATAATGACAAAGTTGTGATATTTAAGGTAAATACGTAAAAAAATAAATTCTGTTGGAAGAATATTTTTTATAACATTAATAATAATACGAAATAATACATAAAATCGTCTAAATCGTCTGCAATACATCTATAAGTATCGCAGATAAACAGTATCTATCCAGTCTATGTGTTTGGAAGACAGTTGAATGATTGTTTTGTTTTATTTAAATTGGGTTTTTGGTATTATTTGTTTATCGTTTGTGGTCAGAGTAATTCGTTTAAGAATTAACTTTTTATAAAGTTTAGGATATAATCAAGTCGAGAGTCTAACTTTGTCTAACAGTTAGGAGATGAATTGTTTGTTATCTTGCAAAGTTTTTAAATGGTAATGATTATATATGGACAATTTATATTTGAAAAGTAAGTACAAGAATACAGTTTATAACGAACATAGGATTAAATGTTTTTGGGAAAGTTGGCGAGTTGATTTCAGTGTAATTAGATAGGGTTTCACGAAAGGGCTAAAATTTGAAATGGTTTTAACTTCTCTAAATTTAATTATTAGTTATTAATTTAATTCGTAAAATATTTAGTCTTTTAAAATTATAAATAATGTGTAGGTGAATGTAATAATTTACATAATATTATTATTGAAACACTTTATAAACGTTTACATAAAGTAATGTTTAGAAAAAAAATTAAATGTATAATATGTGAAAAATAAGAATATTGTAATTTGGATTATCTCGAAAATACGTATAGTATTATACTTTTAGAGGATATTTGAAAAATAATTTGTTCACGAACACTTATATCAACATTTTCTTGACTACTGTGTCGTTTATAAATCAAATGTTTTTCTGCCTTTTGACGTTCAAGTCCTGACTCTTTTCTTCCGGTATTTTTGTACAAATTTATTGCGTAAAAGTCACACCCATACACTACTATAATTTACCTAGTGCACTTGAAAATAAAGAGGTACTTACAGCTATTGAGAAAGACGTGCATCTTTTGGTAAGTTGTTTGAAAAACGCAACTACCCTTTAGTTAACGCCCAATATGTATAGCATAGCATGCTGTATTAAGTTTATATACTCTTTCTGTCCAGAATAATTTATATTTAAAATTGTTACAAAACCGATTTTTCCCCAGAAATACATCAACTAAATGGTTTAAACTACATCGAATTTTATATCAAATTTTGTGTTTATCGTACAATTGTGTTCGAGTGAATCATTTTGTATGGTTGCCATAGGTATGGTATTTTAATGTCAATTATAGTTTAGTTTATTAATTTACGTTACGATATCGTGGTTTAAGCCTATATAATATTCGTATTTTATAAATTATAAATATCATTAATAATTAAGTTGAAATACAAAGTACAAAATACAATTGATACAATTTGTAATTATTTTCATAATAACATAAAATAATTTGTCATTTAAACAATTTTTTTTATGGTAAATTAAATTTTTAATAAAATCTTAACGAAAAAGTGGACAGGTTTGATTTAAATTTTTTAAAACGATTCGAACTTTTTACTAGCTCATTAATTCTTATTACTTATTCTTTCTATCATGTCGCCGTCAGGGCACGTAATCGTTTACGTGTGTTCTATAACCTCGTAATGAATCTTCAACATTATAATTTACGACTTTTGTTAAACGTTAATGTATTAATTATGTTCCTTAATCGCAATCTATTATTGACCATTATTAATTATTTAATAAGTATAGTACTGATTAAATGAATTCGTAATAAATACAATTTTTTTTCCCGATTTTACTGCATTTCTTCAATCTTTTCACATTAAAGCTAATGTTTCATCTCATTAATATTTCATCTCCCAACTTGAACATCAATACAATATGTTTCGTTGTAGAGTATACAGGGTTGTTTGTACCCTGTATAATTTTTCACTTTTATATATATATTATGTAAATTTTTGAATCTTCGCCTGTAATATTACTCGAGCTTTAATTTGACTTATATTCTACGTGAATAACGTTCTTCAAATAAAAACCATAGATAGTATATGTAGGACGTAGGTATATGTATTCTTTCGCATAAATGATAGTAAGAGTAATAAAATATTATGGAAAAATTTAATAAAGGAAATTATATTAAAAATTGTTATTTACACATAGTCTGAAATGAAATGGCTATACACAATAAATACAAAATTAAATAAAACAATATTCCAATTAGTTTTTAAATCTTACGCGCTATTCATATTTTGTTTTATGATTTTTAAAATTAAAAACAATTTAAAGACGATGAAATTATTAAATTTGCTATTGAAAAATTAATATTGCGCATAAAATATGTAGAATTCGAGGTATAGATTCAATAAAAAAAAAAAAAAAAAACACGAAGAATAAAAACTTGGTAATATGTGTATATTTATATTTTGAGTACAGTGAATAATTTATTAGTTTTACTGTGATGTATGCCTATTTATACTTTTGCTCGTGAATCATTTTTTTACTAAAAATTTGTTTAATCAAAAAATGGCAAGGGTTCTTTTTTGTAGTATATTAGATTTGATTGGTGTGCATTGAGAAAGTCTTGTTAAGGTTTTTCTTGTAGTGTTTATTAATAATTGGAAAACCTGAAAAACAGAAAAAATGACTGTTTTATTATGTTCAATTATATTTTTTTTCTCGCAATTCTGTTGAATATATTGGTAGAAACCTGTAATTTTACTACTAAAAAAAGCTAATAAATGAGCGTTTTTAGCCGTGGTAACAGATTCAAAATATCCTGGCGATTTTTGAGCTATTTATTTATTTAAATTGTCGAGTTTTTCAAATATTTTTTTTGATAAAAATGTTTAAGCTCGTCAAAAATGATTGAAGATTTAACACAAGGTTCATCATAAGTTGTATTTATAAGGGTAAAAAAAGTCACGTGTAATGTAGTATTTTTGTTTACATGCGTTTTAATATCAAATTTTCACGAAAATCATAAAAATCACCGCATTTTATAACCTAACCTAAACTAACCTTAACCAAACTTCGCTCAGAATATTTCAGAATAATTTTTAATTAGGTACTAGCGATTTGTTACGTACCCCTCGAACGTGTAATATTTATCTGACCGATTGTTACGACTAAACAAAAAAACCGCGTTGAACACGGACAAATATCACAGTTTGCAGGTATTTTGTATTGTGGGAGGAAACAATTATAACATCTGTATATTCGCGTGGCACACGACGTTAAAACCGAACTACTTAGGTATACTGGCAGACAACGGAAAATAAAGGCGGAGCAAAAAAAAAAAAAGAAACGTAAAAACGCATCATATTGAATTATCGAGAGTAGGTGGCGCGGTGGCGCTCGGTATAATAATTTATTGACGTTCGGTGTATTGTACACAATGGTTTATGCATAATAGGTACGCGCGTCTCGGCGTTTATAACAAATTGTACGCGAATAGTTTTGTGATCGCTATCACTTTTGATCGCGGTGCAACAATTCGGTTGTGCATTACATTTGATTCGCGGGTTGGGGGACGGAGGCGCGGGCAGGGGCGAGTGAAAAAGTTTATACCGACCCATCGCGGTATGCAATATACGTATATATATATATATACATATACATATACACGAGTATATACACATACCCTATATACCATACACATACATTACATACACGTATAATACGTACAGGTTTGAATTTCAGGTAAACCGAAGTTTGTGAGTTATATTCCCAAAAGTGGACAAAAACAAGAGACACATGCAAATTGAAACGCAGAATATATATGCGCGCGCCCGCGGTCTGGAGCGCGGATGAGGCGAGCGTGTGTGGCGCGCTGAAAAACCTCTTGGGGCCATCCCCGGGAACGCCGTACAGTTTTTTAAGTAGTTCTAGAGTGTGGGCATACCCCGTGTCGCAGAAACAACACAATACCCGTTCTGACGTGTTTTCTTTCGGGCCGCGTTCTATACACTCGTATAAAACGCGCGTACGTACCTACCTGCCTGTAGAATACAGGAAAGTTTTCGCACGCACACAATAATATGTATAGATACTATCCGTTTACGATATTATTATAATTTCACGCACACTAGGTCATCGATACTCGTGGTTTTCGTTTTTTTGTTTTTGTTTTTCAACCCCGTAATGCCGTATAACGGCGGTTTTCGTCTCTCCGCGGAGACCAGACGGTATTTTCAATAAGCGGTTTTCGGGAAATCGCGCAACGTCGTCGCGTCGCTTATATGCGAGTACGCCGCAGCATTTTTACGTTAGAAACCCCGAAATAGACACGACCAACGGTTTGTTCGTAAATCAACGAAAATATTCTATCGGAATAAACGACGGGTATTCGTTCAATAAATGTAAGTAGCCGGGGCGGAGACCTAGAAACTATATAAAGGGCAGCGGCGCGGAGCCTATACGTGACGATGTTATAACAGTGTAGATAACAACAACATGTTATTTGAAAAATGATTACCAATAGAAAACAATACAATCGTCGTTTTTCGACGGTTAGGGGTTAACCTTTTCGGGGATCTCGGGGAGGGGACCGGTTGGATCTATGCCTGTTCAACAGCATTTACGGCGTACTCGTACAAAACAGTAAATTTATATTTTAAGTCCGTCCGGTCAGGTTGTGTATCATACTATGTAGGACAAAAGAAAAATTAATTAAAACGCGCGAGGGTTTATTGTTACGCGAAAGTTGCACCCCTTTTTTCTACCTGCAGAGTGACGATAATAATTAACATAAAATATAAATAGGTTTGAATAAAAATGTCCACGTGGTTTTCTCGACGTCTTATAAAGTTCAATATTCAAGTATACACACGCGTAGGTACGGTTTCTTTTGAAACTTGTTTAGAGACTGCACGCGCGTATATAATCTCCCTGGGAGTGGTCGTAAAAATGCATAATACACGATTTGAACGTCTTCAATATTTGACTACACGTTTCCAAATGCATGTTTTTATATATATATATATATATATATTTATATATACTAGTATATTAATAACAATAATAAATATTAAAAAAAAAAAGAACTGAAAAAAAAAAGAGCAATTGTTGTCGTCACTCGAAGCGTAAACACTACGTCGACAATAAAAGGTACTCCGTCGCCGGTTTTAATTGGCCGTAAAAATTGTATTGTTAATGTACAAGGTTGAAAAAAAAAAAGGTAAACTCCAGTCCGAGATGTTTTGGCGGTCAAGAATTTTCACTAACGGAAACCTAACTGCTGCGTGCATTCGATCGGCTACTTTATGGTGACAACAATTTTATTAATGAATATATAATGGAATACATTAGTCTTGTAGTTTAAATAAATGTCACTGCAGTAACTCGCGAGGGACTTGGCAATAAGTGAATAAAAACTAAAAACAAGAATACCGCAAACTGCAGACGCAATAACGTGCTTTTTTAATGATATTTTTTTTGTTTTATGTTTTTAAACTAAATCTATACTCGAAACCATACGTCTTAAATTTTGTCAAGTGGAAAAAAAAACGATTTTTTAGAATTTCGTTCAAATACAATATAAAGACTAACGCCTTGATCTTGTGAATACCGTTCTTGGATTATAGTTCAATTAAGGGCCTTAGAGATTTTTACAAATTGTTAACAATAGTTAACATTTACAATCGCCAAGTTTTAATAAATAGTTCAATTAGTTTTGATTTTTACATCCTGGAGCCTGCGCGTCACCAGTTTTTTCTCATAATTAAAGTAACTAGTGAGTTACGATTTTGGACTACTATTTCCTGGTAAATAATATACAATAAAATATACATCTATAATTTAAACAGAACTGAGACACATAAACCTATAAAGTGTTTTACTAGTTTTAAATTACAAATCATTTATAATTTAAAAATGTGTGTTAAAGGAAAATTATCATCGAAAAAATAAATTTAAATAAACAAACGTATAAATTAAAATGATAAAAAATAAAAACTTTTGGTTTTTAAATTGATTAGTGTCTTCCTAGGAAAAATTGGCTACAAATTTATTTAATTAAATTAAAAGTATAATCATAAAAAATAATAAAAAATAATAATACAAATTGTAAAAGTTTAGTTAATGATTGATAAGTAATAAAATAATCTTATAAAAACATAAAAAGCTGTCCTGTGGATAATGGTGACAGGTGCAGCCACTATTATAGGTAACCCAACGTATACATGTAAGCAACGATAAACCATTGCTAACAAAAAATCGATTCTGAGCGGAGTAAAGTTGATAGTGTTGCTTTGTCAATAATATATATGTTATATTATGGTAAAATAATAACATAGGCGTTATATATTTTCTTTTATAATATTTGTTTAATATTATACCTATTTTTCCATTTTTCCTACGCGTTTCCCGTTTTCCTCTGTTTTTTCCCGTTTTTTTTCTTATTTAATAGGAAAATTCCTGGGAAAATCGAAAAATGACCTCCTTAAAGTACCTCCCAAGTGAGATTTCCTAATAGATAAAGTGCTGCGTTCGCAAATCGGAGCAAGATTTCCGGTGGAAATGTTGTCCAAAAAAAAAAAAAAAAAAAAAAAATCATCTTAATTGTAAACCGCAAGGTTCTTCGTTCCGCTCAAAGTCTAAAACACATAACAGTGGGTAACGATTTGCAATTTAAATCCGAAACTCGAAACAACACATTTAGGTGTCGGGCAGGCCCCTTAAGAGGACACGAACGAAAAATATACGGAGGAATGGGAAACAGAGCGGTGGCTTCGGACGCCCCCCGGTCGCGGCACCGTTAACAAACTATAGTTCGTGGCTTTCGACGCACTATCCGGCGAACGTCCGCGCGAGTCTGCAACTATGACATTACGTTATTATTACATTTTATCCGGCGTGAACGCGGTGCCGCCGAACCGTCGGGCGCGCGCGTACCTACGGTACCGTCGTAATAATGTTATTCTAATATCGGCGGTGTGCGCCGTCCGCGTCACTTACTCGCGTTATAACGCGGGCGTTTCGCGTGTGCCGCGCGGTGCACGGTGGTGTATAATGTACACGCGGCCGAGCGCAGCGGCAGACGGATTCCATGCAAGCGGGATAACCCGATCGAATTCACGCCGAGAGAGAATAACGCGGGCGAGAACCGCTCCGGGGAATCCGATGACAAGCGTCTCAAAAACACGTTCGATTACCCGGTTCGCTTTAATAAATTGATATTGGCACGTTATTGTCGTACCCCGTATACGTTGTCGTCGGGGTTCGTTGGCGAGGCGGCGGCGTGCCCGGTAGTAGTACCAGCACCCACCTATCTATAATGTCTATCCGTACACACACCGTACTCAGTAGCATACAACCGCGCGGCTGCGCTACAATTGCGTTACAATTATATGCGCCGCGCCGCCGGTGCGTACGTAGTGTTTTTAATAATTCACGGTATTAATCTCATGCGAGAATATTCGGTACCGAATTGTCCTTATTTTTTTCCTACAACGCTAAAAAATGCTCCCAACGCCAAAAAAAAAAAAAAATAAAATGAAAAAAATGGACAAAAGGTCAAGCGCTCACAATTTCATATCGCTAACCTTAGCAATATTGTATACACATATTTCGATTTTGTTGAGTCGTCATTTATAAGCCATTACACATAAGCCATCGTAACTCATTGAGTTCTAAATCTAAATTAAATAATAATTATTATTGTTTATCAACCAATAGTTTTAACGCAAATATTATTATGATTCTAATCACAAGTTTTATCTATAACAAGTTTTTATCAAACAAAAACAAATAACACGTGTAAAATATAATATAGTCGTTTGAATTAAAAATAAAACTCATACGTGCTATTTTATTAACACGGTATACTTTATATGGTAACTTGACATAGATGTCCTTATGTGTTATATTTCTGTAGGTATTTTTCGTCAACAAACCATATTTATAATAACTTGTTAATCGTATTTTTCATTAAACATTAACAACACATATATTTTCTCAGCAAACGACGCGCGTCCCAAGATCCTTTTTTTCACGAATCGTATCCCAACATAAAACATTATGTTCCTTCCCATAGTATACAGACTTGTTAGGACTGTCATCAGCAACTTATTACTGTTGGTAGTTTAAAAATATTGATTTTGGTCGACGTCACGCAATTAAAATGTTTCGCCCAATATTTTTACTCAGTTGTTGTCTATTAAATAATTCAGCAGAATCTTTAATATAATTATGACCATTTGCGAGGTCTATAACGTTAGTTTTATCGTTTTGTTTAATATATATAAGACTTGGATGTTTTTTTTTACAGCAATTCCAACGTGAATATCATTCTCTAACGTTTTATGGTAACGCAATTTATATCCGTCCATACGAAATATAGTTTTGTTAAGTTTTAAGCAAAACGTTATAATAATATGGACGAACTGCGATTAAACAGTTAAACAGACGGCACACATACTAAAAGCATAATCCGTACATAATAATAATTTGTGCAAAACTGGTATATAATCACAAAGTATAATATATCTATACGAATATGATTTGCATGTAGAACGGACGTTGTAGTCGTTTAGAAAAATCCAGGACGCGACTCGCGGGGGAATAGTTAGTTCTTATACACACGAGACCTATCAGGTTAAAAAATATATATATATATTATGTTAGTTCCTACACGAATATAAATAATAGCTCGTTTCAACCGCTAATATTGGTAGTATGCCGATATTTTATCGATAAAGCTGACATCTAAATTAAATTTTTGAACACACATACATTAGCGACTTTGCATTACTGGTAAAACTGCTACGGAAAACTTGTTTATGGTTTGATAATAATTATATCTATTTACAAAATGCCGTATATTGGGTAATTTGTACTTACTTTTGTTCCATAATACAGTTTTTTTTTATTTTGAATAAGTCAAACATGTACTTACAAATATCCGTTTATTATACAATATCATAGTATGTTTTTTTTTTTTTTTTACAATTACACATTAATTTATAAAATTTATCAAAATATTTATTTATTTATTTTTTAAAGATGTTTTGTTATAAAAATAACTCGTTTTGGTGGTGTAGGAACTAACATACGTTCCTTTTTTAATCGTGTAGGAATTTACACATATATATTTTTACCTGATAAGTCTCGTGTAGGAACTTACATTCGCTCAATTCACATGTATTCGCTTATCGGATTTTTATTTTGGAACGCAATTCATTTGCAGTCAATATTTTAAACAAACTAGTTTTTTAATCACTTTCCGTGAATAATAGTTGTCAATTTTTAATTAGGTGTTAAAAAGGTTATGTTGGGTTCGGCGTACAAAAATATCCGGAGACAAATGATTAGATATATTTTTAGTTACAAAGTTAAAAAGAATAAGAAACATGTAATTAGGTGTTAAATACGTATTATAATTATATCGGTTAATAGAAATTTAGTCGGATCATTTGTCGCTGGATATTTTTGCCCAGGATCAAATTCCGTGGATATTTTTTTAAACCGAAACCAAACAAATAAGTAGGTGGGTGTTATGATAAAAATACAGTATTTGGTACTGACACGATTTGACAATGCCAATTTACACTAATTTTGATTTCTGAGAAGAGTGAAGAAGTGGATAGGAATGTATTAATTTTATACATTTTTTTTTTCTTTATGCGGACAAATTTTTTCTGCCAGTAGTTTTGCTCCGATTTACAATGGTGGCACTTTTTTTAAAAGGAAACCTGACTGGGATGTTATTTTAGGGAGGTCATTTTTTTGATTTTCCCAGGAGTTGAGTTGTAAAATAAACATCTGTTAATCATCTATACAACCTACATAATATAGACCCATAGAGTTATTCAATATTGTTCTCATTTAGCTAGGGAAATATGTAGCACGCAGTTAGTTAGTTTGTTATAATTTTGTTAATTGTTACAAGCGAGAAAGAAATTGTCCAATTTATTCTTTGTAGTAGAGGTACACAGGACGAGTTATTGGCGAGTTTACTTTGTATACAACGCACAACTGTGTACAAACAAGAACGGAGAAGGGATCAGTTTACATCTAGTTATTATACTTCTACTCGAGTTCGAAACGATAGTATTAGTTTACCACTTCACGACGTCCTTCACATCGGTGAATTCGTTAAAGGTGTATCTTATTATTGTATTTTAATAAATAGTGGTATAATGCCTATATAATATAATGTACATACATATACAATTCTACTTATATTATATGTAGGTAATATTTTTTACGAAAATTAAATACATATCATGTAAAAAGTATACATTGTATACTTTTCAATGTCTGATTTAAATTTTTTATTCACACGTATGAATTTTTAATATTTTATCTACACTCTTATAGGTTATTTAGGATACACTTAATATTTTATACAGTTTATGTTCAAAATAAATACAAATGTATCCGATGTATAATTATTATATCACGAAATTTAAAAAAAATAAAAATAATATCTTAATTAATGATTCACACATTCTTTAAAAATTAAAATCGGACATTAAGAAGTATGTCTAATTTCTCACTATTGGTCTACAACGTATGAAAAATATCTACGATCCAGACCCTTTAAAGGTAATATACAATATTATAATATACAAATACACAAGATGATCAGTGTAACGTAAGTCATATTTATTATCTTGGAAAGGAGTTAATAACTTTTAGAAAAAGTTTACATCTTTTATACAAAGGTGTAAATTATTATTATTATTTTTTTAAAGTGTGAGCAACATTTTTTATCGGAAATCTTGCTCTTACGACGTATCAAGTGTAATACTTTTCTAAAACTGAATTTTATCTTGTCGGTACTTTAAAGAAGTCATGTCCGTCTTTTTTCTCTTTTTTTTTTGGGAAATTTAAAAGTTAAGCAGCTGTAATATGTTACAATTGTTATATTCTCTTTATAACAATATTTTTGGGCGTAAAACCACTTTTCACATTTTAAAGCTTTTGGCATCATGTATACGTATTATATATTTATTAATACATATAAACGAAATTATTTATAAAAACAAACAGACATACTTCGTAAGTAAGTTATAAGTGGTAAGTTGGAAAGGGAGGGTACATAAAGTTATGTAATTTATACCTGTAAGCAACGATAAATCATTTCTAACGAAAAACGATTGTTAGCCATGTTCGTTTATACATGATTTGATTTGAAAGGCCACAATATATATGATTTTTATCAAAATTTATCTTAAAACCATAAAAAAAAAAAAAAAAAAATCAATATCTATACGTAATTTTTTTACCACTAAGTAAAACTTTTAATGAACTTCCTGTTAAAATGTCAATCATTTTTATTCTGTCAAATAATTATATTCATATAATACCTACTACCTACCAAATAAAATGTTTTGAATAAGTTACGACGTCTAGAAAAGGTAAACATTGGTTTTTTGTCAAAATTTCAAGTTTTTACGAATATTTTAGCTAAATTACAACAAAAAAAAAAAAAAAATTGAAAAATTTGAAATTATTATTTCTGTAAACTTTCCCATTCGTTCTAAGTTTTTTTCAGGTTTTTCCTAATAAATATGAAAACTGCTTAAAAAATCAAAAAAATGGTTTTTCTAATACACTAACTATGTCCAGAATTCAACAAAAAAGGTTTTTTCATTTTTGATTGAAGCCAGTTTTCCATTAGAAAAGTTGTATATAGACAGAAAAAAAACACATCATAGTCAAAACAATAGTTCTCTCACTCCGATCCGAATCTAAAATAAAATTAAACATCAAAATATCCATAGGAACATAAATCATATTTTATTTTTTATTATAATGTATGTTCCTTAAGACATTCATTGCACACGGTTATTATCTTAACACCTACGTTGTATAAATTCACAAAGTAAGAATTATACAAGATTATAGAACCATAGAATAGGTATATATATTTTTTTACTTTCGGAGCGAATGAATCGGGAAAGAAAATTTTAGGTAAAACGGCGAATATTTACGGCGCGCCGTGACGTTACAGTTTTCATTTTTTTTATTTTTGCATCTGATGTTTTTATACCAAACATATTACTTCAATCAAAAAACGAAAAGAAACCTTTTGTGTTGAATTTTTAATTTAGTTTAATGTATGTTTTATCAGAAGCTATTCATTTGACTTATGATGTGTTTATAATTTAATACATATAGGGTATTTATTATCTGTGTAATATTATTGTCAGTAGATATAAGCACTAGATAGTGCTGCACTAGTTGCAGGAGAGAGTTTTTTTTATTGTAAGTTACAAGTAAACAATAATTATATTTTTAATAGATTATGTTGTCCTTACCTACAGTAATATATATGGATACTGGTTATCTCGAGATTGTGTTTACTATTTGGCTATTCGACGCTACTATAGGTTCCTTTACAAAGCGCTTCCTAGTATTGAGTTCTAAATCATGATGTAGGTCCATGTATAAATCGTTAACGGCTCATCTGAATTTAAATCTTAATTAATAATTTTAATAATTATTATGAAAAAAAAACCAGTAATTTAAGATTTTAGAATGGTTTGTTTCTTAAATTAAAAAAAATAATATTATAATTTCCGAGATGTATTGAGTACCCTACGTCATATTGATCACTCTGTATAAATGCCTATTATTATTTTATGGATTTTTTTTTGTTTAATAAATACGTTATCTTTTTTCAACTTTAACTATGTAGGTTGTAGGTATGTAATTACTAATAGTCGTTTTATGAAAGTTAAATTAAATAATGTATTATTTAAGTTCTTAGTTTTTTTTTTCAATTTTAAGGTTTATATTGCATTTCTTACCGAATATGAGGTTCTGTAATTATAAGTAGGTATGTGTATTAAATATTCAGGAAAATAGCAGAAAAACGTTTAAAGGTAGGTACCCTTATATTGTGCAATATTAAATAGATATCGATTATTATTATTACTTTAGACTCTGAGCTAAGTGAAGAAAGTATTGGTTTTAAATTCTACCAAAAATTTCGCTCTAATTTTTCAAGTGTAGCACCTTTTCTGAAAGGAAATTTTTCTGAGACGGTATTTTAGGGAGGTCATTTTTTGATTTTCCAAGCAGAAAACTTTCGGATAGAAAACTTATACATGCCTTTTCCAGACGTGGTAAAATTTTCAAAACATTTGAGCTTTCTTCGAGCTATTTAATTTTGCGAAGTTTTTACGCAATTTTTATTCGGTAAAAACGCTGTGGATAAAACTGTTAGATTAAACAGAAATGCTTGAAAATTTAGCAAAACGAATCATTACTGGTTGTACTCCGTGATCAAAAAATAATTGACTGTAATGTAGAATTTGTTTTCTTAAGAATTATAATCTGAAATTTTGACGAATATCGTAAGTATTATTGTCTTTTAAAACACGTACAATCATAATCGTTTTTCGTTAGCAATGGTTAATTGTTGCATACAAAAACACATTAAAGTTCTTATACATCCTACCTTTCCAAATTCTCACTTACATTAATGGCCCACCTATCGCGCGTACTATGTCCGTCTTTTTAATTTTATGATTTCAAATTGTATACATTTTTTCTAAAAACAATTTGCATACCTTACAAAATTTGCCCTCCTCCTATTAAATGTGTAGTTAGGTTAGGTTATGTTCAGATGTTAGATTTTTAGAGTTTTCAGGAAATAAAAATTGCATTTTGAAAATACTAATTATACCAAATATTAATGATAAAAAATTACATGATATTAGGATAATATGATAAGACACAATTATACTAAAAAGATGCCAAAGATTAATTTGAGCTTTTCTTCTTAGGGACTAAATATATTATGTAATAATTATACCACTGAAATCAAAAGTAAAAATATTTTATACATTATTCGTAATATAAATTCAGTAATTATTTTTTTTTGGTGTCATTTTAAATTACAATAAAAGAAAAAAAAAGAAAATAAATACCGACCTTTCTTCTCGTTAAACGTGTCCATACCTAACCTACCACCTGTACAATACAATTTGATTATATTTTATTCTCGTGTTGCATTAAATATATGTTTTTCTTCTTCTAAAGTTGTAATATCTGTCTTTCGGTCTAGATGTGTTCATTAATGACTTCCGAGGGCAAACTGGTCTCCTGAAACTTTTCTATTACCTGATTTTCAGTCGATATTTCTGGAGACTGAGCCTCAGTCCTTGTAACTGAGTTATGTTAGTGTATAGATATTCAAATACGACAACTAAAAACAAATTATGCACTATCGTAGATTATAATAGCTGCACTGTAATAACTATATCGTCTATACTCTATATCATCTAATTATATAATTATGCACTTCAGTGAGCTATTGGTTTTTGGTGCATTTACTAAACATGTCTTAACTGTAAGAACAAATCGTTGATTTTATACAACGGTCCATGACCAATACTAGTATATAATAACAATAATGAGAGCTCGGAATTATATGCACGAAATATGGATTTATCTACGAGCGTATTTTCATTTAAATATGAAAAATATGCAAAAAAAAACAATATATATATTCATATTAGTTAAATTTAATTAGTTTAAAATTGTATGAAAATGATCAAATAATTTATATTATATAAAAAATGTATGCAAATGTTGTGCTCAAATATTTTCTCCAAATTCCGAAATATATTTACAAACAGACGATTTACAGACGACAACTTTGTTTTATTGTGTATCGATAAATAATTATCAATTGACCTATCAATTGGTAGGTCAACAAGTCGATACATTGCTAAATATATATTCAAAAATAATCGAAATGTGAATATATCCTTAGTTAGATATCATTGTTATTAACTCAATACTTTTTTTTCCCAATATGCATAATGTGCATTATATTTTTGAAAAATTCTAAAAAAGTGCATAAAAATCAAAAATATTCCGAATATGTAAAAATATATAAAATCAAATTGTGCATACAATCATATTATAGGTTAAGATTCAATTTTGTGTCTTACCTAGTTACTTTTTAATGTAATCAGAATAAGCAAATGCTTACGATTCCGGGCCCTAATAATAATTATGGATAGGTACACGTAAAAAGCATCGCTTTAGAGTGGTTAGACTCCAAAATTTGACGAGGCGTCTCTAGTACCTAAATTGTCAAAATACAATAGGAATGATACATAAGTCATCATCGTCGCGTGTCGTCATGGTGTGCATAAATTGACATGATACACCGACCGTTGTGTCATTGTGTTATGAAATTTTAATTAGCCCGTCACACCTGTTATTGGGGCAGCGGCGGATGATGATTGTCATTGCCATTAATGAGTGCGGTTATTGTTCGATTATTTAAACGCAATCGATAAGATATAATATCGCACCGCCGCCATTAAGGGCATATTTATGATGGGGGGAAGGGTAGGTGACGGAGCTGCAGCCTCCACGATGTATCTGGGGTATAGTGGTTCTGAATAAAAGTAGGAAGGGTTTTGGCCTCTGGGACCTTGGAACGGTATTTACGGGATAAAAAATAAAAAGTCGTTATGATAGGGCGGTAGACGAAGGCTCGAGTGGTGATATATCATCCGGATAACCCTCCCCTCTGTAAATACGCCGTTGCTATCGGTACACCTCCCCTCCGAAAAATACTATAGATACGTGCCTGGTCGCCGACCGGTGCAAAATGATTGTGCTGAACTTTTTACCGATTTATCATACGGAAAATACAACACGATTGCGCACATTTTGCGCTTTTTCTAATTGAGCCGATATAAAAATTATCGGTTGTTATTAGTCCAAAGCCATTGTAATCGAAAAAGAAAACTCAATAATTTTTCTTTTTCTTTGATGCGCAATCGTGTTGTGTTTTTCGTACGTGAAAATTGAAAAGTGCGCAATCAGGGAGTATTGTTCCGGAAAAAAAGTGGTCCGATTTGCACGTGAGTACATTGTGGCCGACGATGGCGGCGACGGGTGTAATGCGATACTCCGGACATAGCGACGTGCTTGCTTCAGAATTGTTTGGTGGACGGGAGAGGAAAGCGGACCGCGGACGCACGCAATGAATCCACCGCCGTTGCGCGTGTAGTCAGTGACCGCAATGGACTGATTAGAGGAAAAGGGACGGCTGGCGAACGGCTGGATGGCTGTGGACCGCAAAACCACCGGCCACTAACGTGCGCAACACGATATACTCGCTGCGGTGGCGGTGGCTGTCGGTACGACACTGAAGTGGAGGAGGTTTCGGTTTAGGGACACCACCACGACTTATTTGTCTCTCTACGACGACTGGCGGCGCGACCTCCCGCTTATCCGCGGGTCGCCGTCACGTGCGTATTTAAGCAAAATAATGTAATCTACGAGCGTCCTGTCCGACACTATATTGTATCGTCACCGTCGACGACAAATGAAATTCGATTATCCACCCGCCGCTGACATTAATCGAATCCTACTGCGAGCCTAGTGCCCACACTATCGTCTTATAACGTAAACAAAATAACCAGCTGCCTCAACTAGTAAAATTAACTGAAAACTCCAAAATAACGTATTTAGGCAGCTGAACGGACTACGGTGAAACGGCGAGTAACCGAAATCGCTGGTCCAGCTTGCTCGCTCCCCAAGGTAATGCGCACAGTCGATAATACGACCGAATCTAACTCAATCTATAAGTTATAACTGTCAATTTATACGAGTAGATGGCCGTATCAATGAAAAATATAGTGGCCCAGAGCTGATACATTTGGGTGTCCTTATTTTACAAAAAAAAAATTAAAAAAAAATAATAGTAAAAAAATATATTGTAAATAAAATACATTATTACATCCGTTTTTTATAGTGACACAACAAGAAGTATTTTCGAGCTTTGAGTGGAGTCATTAAAATGTTAAATAAACTTTGAACACGTTAAAGTTCTTATTCGATTATTTTCATAAAGCTTTGTCTGAACCTCATTTTTCTTTCTGGGGAGGATTATATTAGCTCACTCAAACTTAACAATCGTTTACCATAATATTATTTGATATGATAATGTCGTTAAACATTGTATTATAATTTGTGCTATTGTCATTATAGTTAAAAAGACCGACCCCGGTTGAACATTTGAAATCGATATTTACACCACACGTATCAACAGATTTTAAATCCAGTTATAGTAATCTAAATTTACTGTATTATATTTACAACAGAAAATTAGTAACCAGATGTGGAGTTACCAGTCTGAAAATGGGAATTTTCCAGATGGCCTAGATCACATTGTAATCCGATGGCCTGATATATTTGTGCATAATTATTTTATATACCTACTCGTATTATTTAAAATCTTCGTTAAAAGGCAAGACTTATATTATATCCGTATCTATGTGTTGGTCTTATATAACGGGGCCGCGAAAACTTCGGCCCATGCGCATAGTTGTCAAGCTGGGTGAAGTTATTAGAGTTACTTAGGACATTTAACAATACACGTGCGCTTGCATTACGTAGAGAAAAACAGGATTTACGATAACAATTATTTATAGATAATTATTAAAAGGGGGCAGCAGTGAGGAAGCATTGTGAAAAGAGATCTCCTACTGTTGTCGGTGAACAATGAAAAAAAAAAAAGTAGGTTTTATATGTATATTCATTTAAAGTATTATGATAAAATGTATTATATTGATGTGATCACTTTTTTAAATTTTTCGGAGGGGGGTGGAGAGTTAACTCTCCCACTCTTTTAATATTTACCAATGATTCAAACAAAAATGTATTAGGCACCTTTCAATTCAAAATCGTGGCTTTGCCACTGGTTCAAATTAAACCGTGAAAACAATTTTGTTTGGTAGGCACCTACGTATTTTATTGGGTGGACTAAATACATTTTAATTTCCCGGTCTAAATTTGATTTTCTCTTCGCTTCCTATTCATAAATAAAAAGCGCTTTGCATATATTATTTATAAAAATAACTTAGGAGAATCATTACGTTTAAGTAAAAAAATAAACAAAAACTTCGATTTCACAATAAAAATATTAAAAAAATCGCGTATACACGAAAATGTAAAATATTATATACATGACTGAAAATTAAGTGCAGAGCACTGCACTAATGCTGCCTGCTACTTTATCATGATTATACACTTATTCGACAACCAAGATATTGTTATCAAGTTACAAAAAATTCTTAGTACAGTAAATGTGCTTTAAAACTGCGTGCATACCGAACATGATATAGGTACATAATATATTGTTATACTAATATAATTTAGAGAGATTAGCACAAGTGGTACTGGTTGTATTGTTTCACACACATGCAAAAGCTAATACATACCTTTTATACGAGTTAATAGGGATTCACACTATAGAGCTTTTAGCGTTTAGTGTTTACTAATCGGAGGCAAGCATATAATCGAGGCTGAAAACATGCGGACGTTATTTAACCGAACCGTAAATTTGCAGATGCTTTTTGTTAAAATTTCAGAATTGAGACATAAAACCAACATTTGTATCTAAATAAAGGTAATATGTAAAAAAGTTATTTTTAATAATTTTCAGTTATTTGGATAATATAAAAAAAATATAAAGATAAGATAACTCATAAAAGTAATGTTGAAAGTACCTAATCCAGGTACTTGACTCAGATTAAAAATATACTATTAAATATTCAAATATTCAAAACAATTAATAATAATTAAATAATTACTTAATTACGGTCATGTTTTTCAGCATTGATAATATATTTGATGATGGTTAAAAAAGTCGATGTACAAATAATTCAATTTTAGAGATAACAAAAATGAACGTGCAACGACAACCGCTATATTTTTTTTTATTGAACACGAACCGACAGATAGTATAGATTTATTGAATTGGTAGATGTTATACCAGCAGAATCATCGTACATATAAGCTAGATAATAAAATAAAATATTAGAAAATGTCTAAAAACTAAAACGCTAAAGCTCTAGTAGTCAATGGCGTAGACAAGGGGGAGGGGAGGCTATAAAGGCTAGCTCTCCCATGTTGACAGTGATTATATATGTATATTATTTTATAATTTGAGTGTTAATTATATACGTTTACAGTTTTTGCCTACTCCTGAAAGAACACGTTTTACACTACATCATATAATGGAAATATATTTGAGGAAGAACACTATGTTAGAAAATAGACTCAATGGGTTAAGAATTTCTATTTAGTGAAACAATTTTATCTATGTAATACCTACCAAGTAAAAACTAAAAAATTAAACATACATTGGTAGTAAAACCAATACATTCCTCGCTAAGCTCAGAATCTACAAGAAGATATTAATAAGAAGACGGACAAACTTCGCACGAAGGGTGGGCCACTGTTATAGGTGAGAAGTTCAGATGGTAAGATATAAAGAGGAATTTAATGTATATGCAACTATTAATCATTCTTAATGACGAACGATTCTGCGCGGAGTTCGGTTGTACTTGTTTTGAAATTCCATTTTATGGGAGGGGATGATGTAAATAATAATCATGACTTTAAATAAATCTTCTATTATATCTGATCTGAAAATTTAAAATCCCAATCTAAAAATCTAAGTTTATATTAATAAATTAAGGTATTTTCCTTATTTTAACTTGGCTAAAGTATGTAATTTTAAGATAAATATATCAAATACATCTTTAACTACTATAGTTGATGTATTTTTTGGCCAACGGAGTGGATATAACCCCTAACTTTCCGTCCTCCGTGCACGTCATTGTACGTATTATATGTTTGACGTATACAATTTTAAAGCCGTTTTATACACGTTTTATACTTAACTCTGATTTATAGACACATATTATAAAAATTATGAAAAATATTTTATTACTAAATTGATTTCATTGAGTATTTTTATAACTAGTAATTTAACGTTTTGCAGGTAAAAGACCAATTCTCGTCCCACGGTCTTGTTTTAAATGGTTGGGAGGGGTAAACGTTTTTATAACACCTCCAAAAAAAATTGAGTTAGCTCCACTGTAATTGGTCGTTGGACAACCGGTATATCTTTAGCCGTACATTATAGGTACTCCCGAACGTATATATAAGTATATTATATGTGAATATAACAATTCACTGGAGAGTTCGACTCTTAGACATGTATATTTCGCATTTCTTTTTAATCAACTACAGATACGTAGGATACGTGTAGGTATAGGTATACACTGAAACGGTGGGTTATGGTTGTACGTTTTTAATATATATATATATATATAAAAAAAAAAAAGAATTACTTATATAAAATAGCAACAACTCGCGGCCATAATATACTTACCTAACTACAGTAGCGGGACGCAATAAAATAAAAGGAAAACAACCCGCGATTCGATTTAATAGACTGCAACGAGCAGGGCATGGCAAATATGACATAGTCAGTTGTGGGTGGAAGGGGGTGAAAGGGTGGATGAACGGTTACGGGGCGGAATACTCGCGTAATGAAGACAATAAAACGAGTTGGGTATTACCTTAATAATATTGCAAGCGTTTTTTTTTTCCCTGTAATAGAGGTAAAACGTATTTTATTCTTATATTGTTTTCTCTTTTTTTTTTCGTCTTTTTTTTTTCATGCAAAGCGCGCATCGTGGGCTCTTGGAATATAAAACAATCAAATTTGTGTCTGCGTATAAAAAGGAGCTTTTTGCTAATTCCGGAACTGGTACAAGATTAAAGTTCGCTGACAACAAACGACCGACAGACCGAGCGACGGCAGTAGGGGACGAAAAATATGTGTTTTTTTTTTTTTTATGTTGATGCTAAAAAGCGTAGAAATTTTTTTAAATCATATTACTACCGCCGCAGTCGCCTCCGTCGTATAAGGATCTCGCCAATATGATTATAATACAATATAGGGTACGTCGTCCTTCGGTATAATATCGTAATATTATGCAGCTCTTATTCTAATAATATTCGCGTGTTACGTGAACCGTGCAACGTCTTTATTGTTATGCCTATATAATATTATTTTCCGTGTGTTTTTGAAGACGGAGTTGGTGTGCATTTTCGAGCAATTCGCGAGATTTCGAATGTTTCAGTCTCATTAATATTAATTTGTTAAACTTACTTATATTCGACGTGAAAGACGAAACATACCGTTATTATACTATGTGCACCGTCCGGGAAGAATAAGTACCTATATTTATAAAATATTGCGTATAGACGAAATGACACGGGAAATACATACAAGAAAAGACGGAATTTTTCCCCATTTTACCCTTACGAGGACGCTACTCGTGCTTTTATTTTCATCTCGGTTTTACAAACGCGCGACACAGCACATTTGCATTCGGTAGAACTGCGCATTTTGTTTTAAAGTTATAGATCGGCGGTTTTTATTCATTTTTTGGTACACGGGCTCTTGTAAAACTAATATTTTTAAAATCGCGGATTCCCGAGTGTGAAAGCAAAAAAATATTTTTGTTATAACATAATTGTACAATTTTTTACGCAACAATTTTTTTATTCCGTACAAAATAATTACAAATAATTTTAGACTACTTTTTATAAAAGTCAATATCTTCGTGGACCTCCAGGGGGCCGCAGACCACAGGTTAAGAACCGCTGTTACAGAGTGAACTGACCTATTATCAAACTCGAAGATAAGGACACAATTTGTGTTTGCACATTGGTTTTTTCCGATACCTTAAAATTTTTAATTGAGATAATTCACACAATTACATTTTGGTTAAAAAATTAAATAACGAAACACTGATGTACAAACTACAAACACAGATAATGTTCTTCGTTTGAAGTTTGATAATAGATCAATTCTCTTTAATATTGAAACTAACAATCTTAAATTGATTCTGCTGAACGCAAATATGCTTTGTCGTGTGTACGATTGATGCAACAAATACATTTGTAGAGCCTTTTTAATTTTATTGGTGAATGAGAAATTAAAAATACATATACATACAAGCGTATATACTCACGCCAACACGTATTAATATGCATAATTTATTATACGAGATGAATAACCGTAATAACAATCATTTGAAACGTTTCGCCAAACTCGAAAGAATCGTAATATACCTAACTTGTACATAAATGATACAACACTATATAGTGTAGCTCGATTCGATTTCTCGAATACCGAATTTCGCATAATGCAACATACGCGAGAAATTAATTAAATATTTTAATTAGGTGTCTACCGAGTGAGCTTAGTTTGACTCGATGTTGCATATTATATTCTGCACAAGTATTATTACGTGTATTCTTATAGGAACGTTTTTCCAGATATTTTACAGAGATATCAATAAAACACATTATAATATATAGTAAAATATCAGATAGTTATCTAACTATCTGATATTCTACAACAGAACGTGTTTAAATTATAATTATTTTCGTAGGATAGACATGAACAATGGTACAAGACACCTACTTCACAGTGTTACTTTTAATCCTGTATAATTTGTTACATTGGACCCCGTACAGACACCAACTTTTTTGTAATAAAAACGTGTTCAGTGTTCGTCCAGTGTAAAAATTGAATTAAAAAAAAAAAAAAACGTTAAACATTTTTCGTATCATTTCGATTTGCCGATATCAATTTTTGTTTGTTTATTATCATAATTATTGATAAGCGAAATAAGTAAAAGACAAAATGACCGAATGCAATTATGTCCCATGCGGTAGTGCAAATGATACACCCAATACCGATATTAAATAACTATTATGTGAGAAAAAACTGAGCGTGTTACTTTTGTCCCCGGTATTCCTATGTGGTCTGTCGTACTATCACAGACCGTAATACTATTATGTGGTACCATTGGTTATAATGAGACGGTAGATTTTTCTTGGGAAACATTTTTCCGTTGATATTTTCACCTGTACCTCAGAAGATGTAAGTTTCCGTTCGGATATACTTTATTTGAAACATTTTTCGATATTCCCCGCCTTTTCGTACAACAGAATTTTAAATATTTGTAATTATGTATTTGACGTGGTATTTTCCGAAAGCAGATGGGGTGCAAAGCGCACCAGCTCGCCCTTCTTCAGACGCCTATGCACCGGAACGACAACGAATATAACATTGAAAAATAGGAGCCGAATTGATTAAACGAAAATGTCACCACATTTCTACACCCGGCAATATCTCCGGGGCTCGTTTGTCACATTATGATGTTATCAATAGTTGTTGAATGAAAGGAATTACCGATCATACATTTACAATACATATATCTATTATTATACGCGCAATTTTCACGTTACGCGCGTTTTATAAACGATCGAAAAAAAAAAATCGAGTGGTTCTCGAGTGTTGTAGTTATAGAGGGGGGAGGGGGGGAGCTTCGAACCGACGACAACGCGCGACGAGTGCTTCGCGTGTAGGTACGACGTGAAAGTGCGCGCGTTTTAAAAATTTATTCACGTAACTCTTGCTTTGCTACCATTTTGATTGTGTCTATATACAGAGTGCGTGTACATACATGTATATTATAATATTATAATCGTCGACGCAAAAATGCTAAAGATTTATATACGTACAATGGACGGTGCGTCGGGACCCGAGAGAGCAGTAGCTGCTGCTCGAGGGCTCTATTTATTGTTTTCAATAGACTATTGTCATCCCGATCGCATTTACCCGAACTCCTTATACTGTTTGTCCCGCACACCGACTTTGCCGACAATTTTTTAAACGGTTTTTTTTTTTTTTTTCAACGTTTCTAAATCCAGAAAGTTCGTATCTGAGGGGGTTTAAGGGGTCAGGAACTCCGCCGAATTTTTTTCAAATATTAAACAACGCGTTTATATAATTCGAAGTCAAAAACTATGAACGCACTCTTAAGGTTATCAAACAAAATGTGGATCACTCTCCGTTATGAAATATTGAGCAAATTGAACAAAACCACGGTGTATCGACCGTGGGATATCGACGGATATTGGGCTTTGACTTCTTGGAAACGAACGGTCACACCGATATAGGTATTTTAGTCGTACCTATACGGAACGAACCTTTTCTTTCCTTTTCCGCGAGCCCTCAAGGATTATCCGACACCCAAATGCCGGTGCGCGGTCCTTTTTTTTTCTTTTTTTTCTATCCTTTTTTCACCGTCCATATATTAACACGAAAACTCTTTCAGTCGTCGTCTACTTTATACGTGGCGACGACTTCTGCTGTACTACAATATACAGTCTTGTATACACACTTTAAGTCCGTATACATATTTAATAAAGCGTATACTTTTCACCGCTCGGCTCCGTAATAACCAAAAAAAAAAACTTATCATTCGAAAAAAAAAAAAGAAAAAAAGAAAAGAAAAATAATAATAAATAGGTAAAGCGCGCAACTACTTTATACGTATAGTCCACTACTCACGGGAATATGAGAATATCACAGTCGCGGCGGTGTTGCATTCTGCAAACGAATGAATTCGGCGTGTTTTGCACAAAACTTTGTACACATAATAAATATATGCATTTTTTTTTTCTTCTAAACGTGAAACTTTTTATTTTCCAGACAAATGAACGGCGTGCAAGTTTTGATGGCGTTCGTTTTAATAACCGCCGACTCGATGCGTTCGTGGACGTGCCCTGACGCCTGTATCTGTTTAACGCCAAAAAAAGTAAATCGACTACAACGGCACACTATCACACCGTCGCTGTCCCCCTCTCTCTGTCCCCTCCCCTCTAAAAAAAAAACCATTATGTACCACCCGCACTGTATGCGTTGTGAATAAAACAACATTGTAATCTCTCGTTTTGAATTTGGATTTATTCCAACTACTGAACCGGACACCGCCGATATATTATTATTATTTCACCCGATAATATTAAAATCGGGTTTCGCTGGCACGACCGTGCGTCCGAGCCTGGGGGTTTCACTCTCACACGGTGTCGCCGTATGACGCGGCACGCGCGTCCGATTCAACAACGGCGGAAAAAAAAAAGCGCGCGCGGCCGATTCTCGTTTTTTTTTTTTTTTTTTTTTTATTTTTTTTTTTTCACATCGGAAAAGGTTACAGTCGGTACCCTATCCACGCGACATCCACGCGACGAATACAAAAGCGTTCCTCGGAATATTTTTCGACTCCTCTCTCGCACATACACACGGTATACACACGCGGTATGTAGGTATTCGATTATTATATTTTGTATTTACAATGAAAGTTATTTTTCTATAAATAGGTATAACGGGATTTGTTTGCACGTGTAATATTATATAAATTGCGATTCGATCGATAGCGGCGCAAAACCTGCAGCCGGTGGTTACCCGTTTGCTGTAAAATGATGTCGATTGCGATAACGTTTGTGACGAATTCACCGAATTTAATGATTAAAAAGTCCGAATCGCGCAGGGTTCTGTAGATTTTGTTTGACAAACAAACCCCCAGCGCATCAATAATAATACTAAATCAATATTGTATATTATTATTATTATTTCGGACCGTCCGACGACGATGACGAATCACTGGGAAATTAAAATATTATTGTTGATACATTTTGTTTTCCCAATAAATACCTGTACGCTATGAATGATTTCGAATTTTTCCGCAAGGGGTGGCGGCGTATCGCGACTGGATTGAATTCTTGACAATTTTTTTTTCAACCCCGGTAGACTTTCACACGGCCTCAAAGTACCTATAATGGAATCGCGTCCTCGTCACGAATCTGGATCTTAGCTCTGCGGTGCTCGAGTAAAAGGCCTGAAATATATTTATATATTTAATCGAATTAATTTTTCCTACAAAAATGATTTGACTCTTATGTGGTAATTCTTAGACTTGAGATATTTTATTCGAGCACCACAGTCAAGATATATTGGTTTTACATTTCAGACCTTTTACCCGAACACTACAGAATTTGTTTCTGTTTGTAAAGCTCGCCTTTTCATATCGTTGTGTCTGTTACATGATCTGATTGTCATGTCATATCATTGTGTCTTTCACAAATTACTTAATTCGTGTCTGTTAAACAAAATTTGTGAATCGTAAACGAATATTGTACCGCAACAGGTGACCGAACATTTTTCCGTTTTTTTTTTTTTTTTTTTTTACGGTGAATATCCGTTTTTCATCAACTTAGTTAAACATTACATTCTACGTGCAACGCATCATTTTTCTAAAAATTTACACAATTCTCTACGTAATGAACTACACACAAATCTGGGCATGATTTTTGAGGGGTACATAATTCCCCAAGCCCACCCCTGCTACGCCCGTCCGAGATAGACGTTTAATTTGATATTTTTCTTCTCGTTTCGTACATAGATACTCTGCAATTCTGGCCACTTGACTTTTGTCCCGTTGGGCAACCTACCCAAGACGGTCGAACACCTTTCGATGACCAAAAACAATCTCACGTACTTGCCTAGTGACGCATTCAGCGGGCTCCGGTGTCTGCGCAAGTTGACGCTAGACGGCAACAGCATAGAGAGTGTGGAACGTTTCGCGTTTCGCGGGCTTCCCCGGCTGCGGGAACTGTCCATCCAGAACACGCCGCTCACTTCACTTCAGAAGTTCTCGTTCGCATCACTTCAAAATGTGACGGCCATCTTGTTGGGCTACAACAAGATCAGCGTGATCGATGAGTTCGCGTTCGCGGGTACCGCCAACATCAGGCTGTTACTGTTGAACAACAACCCGTTGCACACGGTGAGAGTCAATTTTTTTATTTATGATCAGCTTACCGTAAAATTAAATACTACAATTACTTTACAAAGTACCTTAATAATTGCGAGTGGTATTTTTGGTGTAACCGCGAAAATGTAACACCGTGATATTTGGCCCTCGGTAAAATTTTACTATAGAAATTATACCTCCTTGGTAACCCATCGGAGGTTAAATTTCACTAATAAAATTTGTAAATAATTCTTAATGAAATTATTAATCCCTCCCCTCCTTCCCCGGTCGAATATCACAGTGGTGAATAACCACTAACACACCGATAGTCGATTTCTTTACTTTTCTTTTGTTCTTTTTTTTTTTTTTTGTTGAAAATATCAAATATTATACCTTATAAAATAAGTATGTATACTGTACTATAATTTATCATCATCAGTAATGAGAGTTAAAATATAAATGTTTAAAAAAAAAAAAAAAATCCTAAATAAATTATAACAATAATAATAATTTTTCACTTTCCGATTTGTATTTTATTTTATAACATTTATTGTTTTGTACTTATATTTTTAAATAATAACAACAAAAATTAAAACAACTAACAAACTTTAAACGAATCCCTTAAAGTAGTGCTTCGGGCGGACAAATCGAAAAAAAAAATAAATATTTTATTAGTAAACTTTTTTGTTTTTGGACTGTTCGAAATTTCAGCACTTTTAGAGCCATAAGCGCCCGATAAGCAATGATAAAAAAAAAAAAAAAAAAAAAAAAAAAAAAAAAAAAAAAAAAATAATAATCAATCTCAATAACTGAAATGATGAACGGGCGTCCGTGTGTTGTTTCTATACACATAGGTGTCGGCCAACGCGTTTTCCGGTCTGACCAACGTGGAACACATTATAATGCCGTCGGGCATCCGGGATCTGCAGCCCGACGCGTTTAACGGACTCGACTCGGTCGGGCTACTGAGACTGGCGTTCATGGACCTGTCGTCGCTGAGACCGTACACGTTCCGAGGACTGAGTCACGTGCACGTGCTGGCCGTCCAGGACTCGGACTTGGGCGTGATCCGGGCGGACGCGTTTTCCGGGCTCACGCACGTGGGCAGTCTTAACCTGTTGAACAACAAAATCGATTCGATCCAGAGCCTGGCCGTCACCGACGACAACCGCGTCAAACACTTCCGGTTCAACGGTAACCACGTGCTGGAGAGCCCGAAACGGGGCTCGTTTGCGCTGGTCACCATCAACGACTCCACGGTGATCAGCAACCATTTCCCGTGCGACTGTCACCTGTTCCGGTTCGTGGACGGCCGCCCATTCGGCAACCTGTCGTACGAATCGTTCACCGGCAAAAACTATTGCATATCGCCGCTGGAGTTGAACGGACAATCCGTCAGCGTCGTCAAACGCAGTTTCGTCGACAAGTGTCTACAGAGTTCGTTGGCCGCGACGCTGGTCGCCGCGCCGCCGTCACGTACGTTCCTAATAACCGTTGCTATGTTTCTATTTGTTTTCGTTCGTTGAACATCGACATTCGTTTAAAAACATAATGATAACAATAATATTATCGTTTACACTAGTTCAATATTGTTAAAAACGCAATAAAAGATACGTACCACTTAATCGTTATTTACAATATCACAGAAAAGTTATTATATAAATTTAAAAAAAAAAAAAAAAAAAAACCGAAAAAAAGTCCCGCTGATATTTTTGACCGTTAATAAAGTATACGGATACATACGACGAACCAGATCGCTACCCGGCGATATGAGAAGTGTGCAGTTTTAATCAGCCGTTTAATTCGAGATCGCCGTTTCTCCACAATCGTTCGCTTTTGTACTGTGATAACTGTTTTATCCGTGCAATGTTGTTAACGATCGCGGTAATAACGGAAAGAAAAGGAACACGACAACAATCTCGATATAATATTATGGGTCCGGGTCAAAATCCCAACTGTTACAAACTCGACAGGGTCAAAATCCCCACCTGGTTAAAATCCCGAACTGGTCGAAATACCGACAATCACATATCGTACAATATTAAAGGGGCTTCATCTGTAGTAATAATGTGACGAGTTGTTGAATATGTTGATTTTATTGTAATTATTGATTTAAAAAAAGTGCAAGTTTCATTTTTTTTTTTTACAAGTTGATTACCAGTATAATTTCAAGGAACATAATTAGGCGATCACCTACACAATCTCAGGGGATGTCGATAATCGTGTCTGCGAAATTCCGTGTAATATTGTCCGTTGGAATCTCAACTTTGACGGGATTTTGACCCTGTCGGGATTGTAAACGTCCGGGTTTTAGTGCCGGAATTACAACTGTCAGAATTTCGAACGCCTCCCAAAGTAATGACGATAAGACCATGGGTCTCGAATTGAATGGCTGGCGCGAGACTTCGACCAAAGGCATCAGTATGGACGCGACCGGTTAGCGATCCAATGTTTATTGTACGTATCTGTATCAATATACTTAATATTATCAATAAATTGTATACCTATACGGTGGCTCTTCAAAAAATGCATTTAACGTGCCGTTTTTTCACGTATACGACTTCGCGATCGACGAATACTACTACTATAATTGTCTGAATTTATTTTCCTTTACCGATTATACTATAATATACTCATTAAGTATTATTTATTTATTTCAATACATTATATTATATTATTATCATGGTGTATATAACATTATTATAAATGTATTACTTTAATCACAGGTTTATTCGAGAATAAAATAATTATAATAAATCTATTTGCGCTGCATATCATCTTATATATTATTATGTACATAATATAATGTCCTTTAAAAATAATTGTTTGTTTTTTTTTTGCATTTTAAAATTTTAGCCAAATATACGATTCAGGAGAATATAAAATAAATTTGTAAACAAGTGAATAATACATTAAAATACGGGAATTTACAAAACAAAAGGTATGAAAAATAACATCAATGTTATTGTAAAATTTTTGTGTATACATTTTAAATCATTATATTACACGGATAAATTTTTTATTTTAGAAAGTTTAATATGTTGAGCCTTTTTGAAATATTTGGATTAAATAAATGTTATTTTCATTTTCCGAGTTAAATTATTCTCATTTATCCGTTATTATAATAATTAATCAAAGGTTAAAAGTTTACGTGAGAATAGATATTATTATTTTTTTGTTTTCCCCATAAATAATGTTTTATTTTTAAATTTATTTTCCATATTAATTTTTGTGATTGCATTTTAAAAGAAAATGAAAATAACTAAATAATAATTACATTATTCCCGGCAATTTATTTTAATAAACAAATGAGACATTTTTTGCAAAATAAAATATGTTGAAATTCGAGGTTTTGCAGGCCCCATTATAATATCACCTTAATGATATTTAATGTACTTCGAAATAATTTGTTTTAAGAAATATATATAATATTATGATAATTTATAATATTTATTTAGATTGAAATATTTACAGTGTGTTTTACTCAAACGGCGATACGAAATACTTCCGCTGGACCAACCTCGATTTAAATGAACTGTATTATTGACTAATTTTAATATACGGGGTACTCGAAATACCTGTTAGCGAATTTTCAAAATTAGCTATTAATAGAAAAAATATCACTGTTCGGTTTCGTTTTTAATGTTGTTCGTTTAGGATCAGGAATACCGTTAACTTTTTCTTCGAGTTTATTAATTAACGAAAAACTGTCATATAAGGGTAGGTGCATTCTGAGTTTTTATTTCTTTATTATTGTTACTAAAAATGACAAACGCGTTGATACACTGATTCATTTATTTATTGCGGTGCATAATTTTAATCGAAATATACAAATACCCATGTAAAAATATTAAAAATAAAAGTTCGTTAAGAACCTCTAATTAGTATGACTCGTAAAGACTATTGACATTTATCTAAAAATATTCAAATATAAATGCGTGTTCTAATAATCGTATACGTTTGACGTTTTTTGAAAAATTATACTTTTTAATCAACTTTAGACGGCTGTATTATATAGGTATTTTTTGCCATAGAAAAAACTATATTGATCAAAGTCGGTTAATAAATAAATAGGCCTATTCGAATCTGGTGCTAAAAATAGGTATTTCTTTTTAAGGAAGTGTTAATTTTTTTGTGTATGAAATGCTGACCACAGGTGTTAGCATTTTGAAAATTGGCTTAAAAAATGTATTTGGTTATCACTCTTTTGGTTACATTTCTAAAAAAAGAACCCATTATGATCTAAAATCATCCAGGTTGAAATATTTCGTGTTATCAGTCGTTTGAACGAAGCGAACGCTGTATGAGTAATATGTGATATTTGCGTTCATAATAAATAGTCAAATTTATAATAGGTATTTGTAAAAGTCATTTTGCTAGAATTCAATTCAGTTTAAAAAGAAAAAAAAAAGAAATAAATAAATATAAATATAAGAAAATAATTTGGTAAAATATGTTCTATGTGTAAATTCGTATTTTCACATACCATAGGGCAAATAAAATAAAATATCTAATAATTATAAAAAAAAACTCATAATCGATATAGGTACTTAATTATAGCGTCGTCCAGTCCACGACCTACGTTATATCCGTTCGCTTTATAATTTATAGTTAATTCGCAGATATCATGATAGCACCTGGTCACAATCACGTGCCCGCGTTTTTCAACCGAGGAGAAAGGGTAACTATACCACAATAAATGAAAATTATATTTAATAATGCAATTGAAATATACATTATATGTCTACACTGTGTAATATAAGGATCCATTGGGATTTTGGAAAGGGCTAAATTATCATTATTTTATTGTAATAATAAGTTTTAACAGTAGGCAGTTTATAATTTTTTAATTTTTTTGAAATTTTAACACGACTAATAAAGTGGAAGACAAAAGGGTGGGCTTAGTTATAGTACCCTTAACCACCCTACGGGTACGCCACGACCGCCTGATAAAACAGCAACTTGTACCTACATATTAACCTGCCGTTTAGCATTTTTGGTCGTTTTTCTTTTTTTTTTATTGTACAATGTTATTTTATATTTTACTGCATTGTTAAAAATATAAAAAAAATTACCGTCTGGTCGGTCGACGAACGACAAGTCAAATAGATAGTGTCTCGAGGTAAGTGTCCGAATGCATATTATAATGTTAAAATGTTTTTCAATTGAAATAATCGATAATTTATCTTTATTTGACTCGTAACTTATCCACTATCACGTATATATGCAAGTTGCATTAGTTAACCTAATTCGTATTTAGTTAAACTTGTATATAATCACGCCGTTAATAGTGCGTTTTAAAAATTTCACTCCGATTTGACGAATCGAGTTAACTCAAATTCTGGCATTAAGGAATGCGCATAAAAAACGTATTAATATTTTTGACAGAAATTAAATATCAAATTACATACACAAAATAATGTATTGTTAATGTAGCATTTTAATTAATGTATTATTTAATTTTATACGAATTTATTCTTCATATTTCATATGTATAAAAACCCACTCATTAAATATTAACTAAATTTTTTTTTTACCACCTATTGGGCTTAGTGCGTATTATTAGCGACTGCGGTATAAACGTAGTGTATTATACGACTCTTTCTTGGCTCTTTTTAAATTACCCATTATAATATTATTTCGCGTCGTGTTACATGAACCATAAAACAAAATCAATAAGAACTCGTTATAAAGACAATATAGTATACAATGGAGGAATATATAATTACACCGCAACAGAATATTAATTATAATGATTATTAAATAGTGTCACTATATTTTCTGTTTTTACTCAGCGATAATAAATGGACTTGTGGTGTACTCCCGACCACAAATATATCGTCGTGCACACATTTTTATTATTATGACTGATTTCCTTGTACCGCAATCAAGTAATATTTTAATATTATGTTCCTATATTTCATATTGTATTAAACGATTTTTTTTTTTCTAAAGACAATTTGTAAATATTTTATAGCGTATAATATTATAATTGTTACGGTACCCTATTGTGTTTTTGTAGAACAATAAACAATAATGTGTAAAAACAAAATATTATAATAAAATTATTAAATGCTAATAAAAAAATAACGTTTCATTTTTGTCGTTTATAGAAATAACAGCATGTACGGGGTGTGGACTATTTTCCTTCAAAAATTATTTACCGTTTTCTTCTATTCCTTAGATACATTTAAAGTTGGTTACGTACTTTAAGCCATCAAGACGTCGTCGTTTTGTTTTATTATTGTGTATTTATTAAATATACTAGCTGACCCGGCAATTCTTTGCTATTGCTAGATAATAGTGTAATAGTAGTAATAATAACAATAATAATCGTTTTCTTGTCCGTGACAGTTAAATTGTTATCCTCCATGCCAACAGGGTAACCATGAGTAATAAAAAAAAAAAAAAAAACTAAAAAATTAGATATTCATACCAAACCCTTATTTTAACCCTTTAGGGGTTGAGTTTTAAAACATCCTTTTTTAGCGGATGCCTACGTCATAATAGCTACACGTATGAAAAATTGTAGCATGATCCGTCTGGTGGTTTGGGCTAGGAAATGATGTAACAGTCAGTTAGGACATGTTATTTTATGTATAGAGATATATTTTAATAGTTAATAAATTAATTGGTGGTACATAATAATTGTTACGTGATTTTAAATTTTTTTTTTTTATACTCTAATTAGATTTTAACCGATTACTATTCAGTATTGGTTAAAAAAAAAAAATATCAGAAAATATTTTTTTTTTATCAAAATATTAGGAAATAGGCTGGAAATAGGATGGGCTCTGAGTAAACACCCGACCGGAAATTATGCATATTTGTTTGTAAATACTCGGATAGATTGTATTATGATTGTATCTATGGTATACATTTTCGCGTATTTGCATTTTTTGGAATTTATTTATTTATTTTTAACTACGATAACCGACAAAGCTGCAGTTGACGCATAGTCTTATTATCATACTTTACTTACCAGCATTTTTTTTTTTTAAATTTTTATTGTTGGTCAATAACGACTGACCAGTAAATAATTTGTAGTAAAATAAATGTATAAAAAAATAAAAGTACACTGGCGCTGTTGTTCACTGACGTAAAATATCTGTCTTGTTTATATTATCATTGGACTCGTACGACTTGTAGGAAAATTCAAATTAAGTAAAACACATTTCCCAATATATCCTTATATTCATTTGAATACTTCGCTATATAAATAAAAAAAAAGTAATTCAAAATAAATACCCGGTAACACTGGGTAAATTTCTCATCACCTGGTATACAATCAGTGGTGTCGAACCATGTTTTAAGAAAGCGGGCAGATAAAACGTTGTATAGACCTCCACTCTCGTTTTTAAAACAAACTCTCATACAACACTCTTAATTAATATTCTATGCGGACCAATTCGATAAAAAATTTGGCTCAGGTATCCATCAAGGATTTACTACCTCCCGTCCATTAAAAGAAGGACGAAAATCGCCGTCGTCGACTGCCGGTTTCGGCGCCACTGTTTACTATGTAAAAATGATTATGTAGGAGGGCGACAATAATGTTGTCTTATATTTCGGTAACAGAGTAAAATGGACAGCGGTGGAAAACGCCATCTCGTTTTTCAAACGTGTTTATCGGACGAAAGTTGTCCGGCACAGAGTCCGTGCTGCAGTGGCGTCCGCACCGTTCGCAGCGTGGTGCCGTGCGCTGCATTAGCAATACGCACGGCGGTTTGCACGCGAAACTTAAATATTTAATCTTCGTTTACGTACACTGCGAGAGGGGAAAACGGACTTATGTCAGGAATTCCGATACGCGGCACCGGGTTTAATACGACTCGTATATAACACAGTGACCGTCATAATTAACTGCCGAGGGCTTATGCAAAGTGTTGACCATTCGGTTTGTTAATTATTACCGTGTACGTGCGGTGCAGCGGTATACACCCATAAAACAGTACAGTTATACGAAATGAATTTTAAGCGTACATAGCAGGAGACGACGACGGTTCAATTGCATTCCACTCGATGTATAAATACATATATATATATATTGTGCCTACAGGTATACCGTGGTAACCATCCGCCGCGGCGTGCCGGTGTATACGTACGGTTTGTTTTGGAAAAGGTTTTTCGAGGGTATAAACAGTTTGGCGTGTTGTTTTTATTATTATTATTATTATTATTATTATGGGGAGGGGAAGATTTTTTTTTTTTTTTTTTTTTTTTTGTATACATCTTGTACTTGAAAATATGTTTTCTTCGCATTTTCTTCTCTCGTGGTTTTCAGTTTTTTCTTCCACCCCTAGTAAACATAATCCCATCGGCTTGATATGATTACAACATCTAATTATCCATTATAATCGAACCACCCCGTCGGAAAAACCACCGAGAGTACCCGGTATGAAAAGAAACGCGCAACGTAATAAACAGACGGCCTGCCTGCCACTTTATCTGCTATTTTTTTTTTTTTTGAAATTGAATTTTGGTTGTTTAATATATATAAAACCAGTGCGGTATATCTGTCCGTTTCGTCGTGAATAAATGCCCATAACGAAAATTATTATATGCCTATTCGAGTAGGCCTCGACTCATATTAAGAGGATTGGTGACGGCGTATATTTTAGTCGATTTAGACATAAAACCCAGAGAAAACGGTAAAAATAATGTTTGACGGATTATGAAAACGGTTTATGATTCCTTACTAGGATATGTTGGAAATAGAAATTTCATTTCTCAAAAACAGAAATCGTCCACAATTTTGATTATGTTTTTGATAAATGTTCAAAAGTTTACTCACAGTATTATGCATTTTATTTATGATAAAAACAATGAAAATTAAAAATAATAATTCCGAAGTGTCCTAGTTAAGGATCTAATGGATCGTGATAAAGCGTCGTTTTCAAACTGTGTATATTACGTAAACCTTTTTTTTAAAAACCGAAAATCAAAGTAACAAATTAATCTAATTTTTTGAAGCATTCCCTACCTCCTACCTCCCGAAAAAAAAAAACCCCCCGCAATTAACGTCTACGCGAAAATGTATGCATATGGTTTTGAAAAAAATTACCGACCTAATCTTTTCGCGCGATAATATTAAGACGCTCGGATATCGGAATACAAACTATAGCTATTATCATCATTATTATCGTTACTATTTAGACGGAATAAATCGGATGGCGAGATTTTCTCCCCCTCGCCTTGTATACTGTACGAGTATTATACAGTAACCGCCTTCTCCGACAACATCGACTTTATATACCGTGGTCGTTGGTCTGCAGCAGTGGGCATTTTCCCTTTGGGCAACCTATCGAAATCGTATATATTTGTGGTGTCGACGCTACCGGGGCGACCGGCGGGGGATACGGTGAGCCGTGGGTTCGGCGCCGTGTGGATTATAAATTTATCACTGGGAAATTCAATTAAAACCGCCGTAATCGAATAAAATCGCCGGGTATTGGGTACGAGGGGTCGAGGGATATTGGTAGCAGGTATACACACCATATATATATATATAGTGTATATAGTTTGCGAGGTGAAGGAACGATCGTAAAATTATTACCCGAAGATTACGGGCGCCGCGGGGAGGGTTTCGCGGCAGAGGAGAAGTGTATATGATGAAATTCAAATCGTCTGACACACACACACACATACACACACACACACACGCTCACACGAATAACACAACAACAGGTTATTTTCGGTAACCATCATCCCCATAACACCCCTTCGATATCGACGGAGCGTTCTTAATTTATGAGTTCCCTCCAGCGTGCGAGAGAAATAATCGTTAAAAAAGTATTATAATATACGTCGGCGGTGAAATTGTTTTTTTTTTTTTTATATTACCTATATACCGATAAATTACCGTATTCTACTATTTTTTATTACAATTATTATTATTACTTTTTTTTCTTTCAAAAAAAACCGATATTTTAAGTCGGTGACTACTCATCCGCGGATCCGTACACGGTGTATATGAATTATGACCGTTCATATTACATTGTTTCGCGTACGGATTTTATAATTTGTAATAATAATAACAATATTATTAGTGGCAGAGAAGTTTTTTTTTTTTTTTATTTATTTTTTATCAAATCGTTTGTTGTTCGACTAACCAATAATATTATTGTACGCGTAGCAATATATTCTATAAAGTTTGATAAAATAAAAAATCGCCATGCACCGAAATTTGACTATGGGAAAAAAAATTAATTATTTCCGTGGCCATTTCCATAATTTTCCACATTCCAGGAGTATTTAATCGTTTGAAATTATATTTTGAATTATTGTCAATTGAATTTTGAACGTAATTCATAGTAGTAAAAATGCAGGTAATCTATATGTATCGTATGAAAATTTTTGATATTTTTACCTTCCATATTTTATTTTATAATACAATTGTAATAAATAACACTAATCGTCGAAATAATGGCTAAAACAATAATGTTTATGGAAAAAAGCGAAATATTTTCATGTGGCCATTTTCGTAGTCTGTCATTTTTATGTTTGTCTACATTAGATTTTTTGTCACTTTGGTATGTGGTGATTTTTCCCGCGGCTATTTTTGATTTGGTCAACCGACTGCCATTATACGCACGAGTATTCGTGCGAAAGCGTATTACGTGATTCTTTAGTATATCAATTCCCTAAAGGTTTCCCTATCCGTTTTTTTTTTTTTTTTTTTATTCTGTTCCGACCGTATTTTATTTTTATTTTTTTTTAATTAAACTTCTATTACCCGGCCAGGGTGATTATACGGTGCCGACGACTGCGACTACGACGACGGACGCCCGGTTCGGTTCGGGATACCTACGATATTATTATGTACGGAGTCGTCTGTCTTTATACATCGCGGGGGACTGCGGCGCTCGCTGCAAAGGTTCGAACGTTTTTTTCCCTTCATAGATATATACGAATAGAGTTTAATAATTACGCAAAAAGGTCCGGGATCGGAGGAGGG